TTATATTGCCACTTGCTAGACTCTACGCCTAAACTGCAAAAGTTCGGACTTACAATGCATTGATGCAATTTTTAAAAACAACTACTTTTCTTTCTTTTTCATTCTTAATTGTTATATTGGAGGGCATTTCCTCAAACAAAATTGAGTAATATGTCTCAATGTGGTATACACTACATAACCCATTGACTCCGATAGCCTGCTTTTCTTACTGGATTAGCTTTCAAAGCCTTTGTCGATACAAGAATATCTGCAAGGCAGCAGTTTATTGATTTTAGAGTTTTCTCTCCTTGATGGGTTGCCGTTCCTAGCTAAAGAGCATTTTCTGTCATTCGCAGAACTCAAATAGTTTGCACTCTCCCATCCAACCACGCCTTCGCTAGTATTGACAACTTGTTAAAAATGTTGAAAGAAATGTTATTATTTACAACGCCTTAAAATGGTAAATATTCTTATTTACAACGCCTTAAAAATGGTAAATGTTATTATTTACAACGCATATTAACAATGTCAAAACGAAGCGCACATTATCCTACACGATTTACGAGCCCACAAAACATTCATTCTAAACTTAAGGATGACAAAATCGATCACCAATCGATTGATTGTTAGTTAATTAAATCTCCCAACAAAATTACAAATGTCTAGTTTTCCCATCTTGTGTTGGACAAAGTGTTGAATTCCAGACTTGAGGGCAACAATGGGCCATGTTATCTTACATCGGGGTGGGGTATTGTTTAGACATCGATCACAAACAGTGCACAAAACAGTATCGATGCGTGCGAGTGAATAAATTAGAAGAAAGATGAGATGAAAGCGAGTGCAGTGAAGCGTGAAGCTACACAGAATTACTTCTGTATGGGCGTGTGAGCACTGTGTTGTTGCTATGTAGAGTACAGGGCATCACACAGACAAACAAACAAACAAAGTGAATAACACAGTTACTATGTGGGCATGTTTTGATTTTTATTTATTTGCATACGTCTTAAAAACTTTTTAAAATTATTGGAAAGCTGCTATTTCAGAGTGTCATGTTATGATGAATGAATTACATGTTTATTTTTATATATTTATTTATATACGAATACTTACTAAGGATAATGGTATGTAATTAGGTCAAGGACAATACCCCTCCCCCTTGTCAATTTGCACTGATTTTCCCCAGCTCTGTTATTACAATCAGATCAATTACCCTTGTTTATTACCCCCCCTCCCCCGCCCGCCCCTCCCCCACTTCTCCCTTATGAAACGATAAACGAAAAAATCGCTACTTGAACTTGAGAATCGATTGTTACCAATACATAGCCATTGGCTTATTTGTAAATAAAGACTTATCCGCCATGGATGGCAAACAATATTAAATTACAAACATTTTCCTTGTTTCAGATTTTTGATATTTGAGAACATTTTATAAAAAAAAATAATTAAAAATACGCCAGTACCTTGTTCCTTTTTTACATTTCATAATGTTAAATGGTTGTTGTTGTATGAAATAGGCGAGCCATTACTTCTTCTTCTTCTTCGTTCTTAATTATTAGTGTTGAAGGGGATCGAGATTTATCTGCCAGTGCGTTTGAACTCGAGACTTTGTTCGAATTTAGAGCTATTACTAATTGACAGCAGAAATCAAGCAGTCCCATGTGACTTGGGCACAGAAGGGAAATCCTAATATATAAAAGCCCATGTGCGCACGTCTCTCTTTCTCTCTCTCTCTGTCTGCAAAATATTTTCGCAGGACATCACATCAGAATCTTCAGCGATATATGGAGAACTTGATACGGACTTTTGTTGAAAATAATATGTTAGATGTTTTAAATGTATAAACACAATTTTATTTAAAGAAGAAAAATAAAAAAAGGCGTATTCTAATGTAGAAAAACAATTTCTAATTATGCATCCGGAAAAGCGTTTATAGTTGGGACAAAAGCGCATTTAACAATAACGTCACTTAATGTTTACACTAAAGAAAGAGCACGAAACTAAAGACGTCATTTTCCGAGTTTAGAATAAAATAAAGAAATAAATTATTTCATTCAAATATGATTTAGTGCTACGTACGCTATGAAATGTATACAATACGATTTTCTCTGCCTAAACTTTTATAAGTTTATACTTTATCTATTTGGATTCTATATATAGATCTAGATCTCGATTCTAGATCTAGACTAGATCTACGGAAAAACTAGATTAAGACGCTAAAATCTGGATTTAGACTATCTACTAAAAACAACATAACTACCATTTTAAAGAAATCTTCCAAGTCTCTTAATTTTAAGTCTCTTAATCAGCGAGCGCATTTAATATGGTATGGTTACCAATGAAGAAATGAACTATTTAATTTAAATCTATAGATCTAGATCTATTCATAAAAACCTAATAAAACTAAATCACTTTAAAAACAAGAAGAATACCGTGAAATAGCCGAGTTTTTAACGGAATCATTTAAGTCACTTAATCAATGTGTGCCTGTGTTATGTTAAATGTGTATCGGATTTTTAGCTAATTAGTTATTTCTTTGCTTTGTCACCAATATCGTTCAGCGTGTAGTAATGCACATTGCGTTCTGACCAATAACTATTTTATAAATTATTTTTCTCAAACAAGTTGAACATTTTAAGATATATAGGCCTATAATTCACGTGAAACGGGTACCGATGGCTAGTTAGATAAATAAATCTTGCGGATAAAGTCATAAATATTATGCCCTGCATAAGATAATGTTGACATCTTTAATGCACGGCTTAGATGGTTCTATTTTTCTGTTTTCCTTTTTATCGTCATATTCTCTACCGCCCCATTACCCTACAAATATTTAAAATGGATAGTTGACATATGAGCAGTTTTTTTTTTAAATATTGGGTTTTAGAATAACCCCACCTCATCTGTCAATTACTCTTTTCACGCTCCCCAAGAAATCATCCCTCCTTCCACAATTTAGAATATATGTTGTACTTACACCATACCCTACCCCCATCCATCGAAAAAATTTCCGAAACCGTAACCCAAGGCATAACTCAACCCTAACCCTTTTTATAATCGGTATATATAGCTGCTATCAGAGGCGTAGCGACCCTTCCCGGAGACCAGGGACAAACTTTCAATTTGGCGCCCCTATATTTTTTTTATATTTATAATGCAAAACTGTCGCTAAAATGAGCTTTTAATATTTTTTTTCAACCCATTTTGGCTCCCCCTATGGTCGGCGCCCGGGGACATATGTACCTCCTGCTCCCCCCCCCCCTCGCTATACTTGGGAACGGCGTGGCTTAGCGCTAACCTGCTGACCAGAAAGTTCAAGTCAGTACAACGTCCCCGAGTCCGCTCAGCTCTGATGGGTACCTAACTCACATTAGGGAAATTAAAGACAGCTGGGCATAGTACTGACCACATTATCCCTTCACAGACCGAGGTCATAAAAACAGGTAAACTTGCATCATTTGCCACAAGACCGTCAGGTCCGAAAAGGGGACTTTAGACTTTACTTATTAATAAGCTCTGTGCCTGGGCCTTCAAACTTTTAGGGCCTACGAAGTCAGAAAGCTAACCAGTGAAACAAAAAATAAATAAAAAGACGTTTTCGACTTAAGAAATCGTGACATTTTTTCAACCTTTATGTTATGTATTTTTATAAAAACATTACATGATCTGGAGTGCGAGTCACTGCGGCAGTTGTCATTTGGGCCTACAAATGCATAAAGTGCTTTGGACATAAGAAAGAATTAAATTGGCCCTGTATTGGGTCGAGCGAAGAAACACATTCAACTCAAACACCAGTCCATTAAGCTTAAACACTTGTCCGTTTAAAAAAATGTTAAGCTTAAACACCAGTCTGCTAACAAAAATGTTAAGCTTAAACACCAGTCTTCTTACAAAAATGTTAAGCTTAAACACCAGTCTGCTTACAAAAATGTTTAACCACTGGTTAAACACAGTGACCTAAGACGTGCTCGTGCGTCCTGTGGTCAATCGATCAACTCAGAAATCAATACGCTGTTTACAATCAGCGATGCGAATCGGGTTCGTTTTTTCATTTTGAGTTGTTGATTTCGATGTAAACACAACGTGTTTATACATTTAAAGCCTACTTGTCGTTTATGGTAGGTTAACTTAACTCAGCACTAAGAAAAACACGTCAATAGTGGTTTAGAACAGTCATAGAGTATATGCTGTTCAAGACTGCTATGATGCTTTAGCTACATTTACCCCCGTTGTAAAAGTTCCCTTTTTATCGGCAAATAGCTGAACTGCTTACCCGTCAGTCTCGAGTTCGAACACGGGTACAAACAGTAGACCGTCCCTGAGTCCACCCAGCTCTGATGGGTACCCAATTCACGTTAGGGTAGGTAAAGGCGGCTAGGCATAGTGCTGACCACATTATCCCTTCATTTGTCCAGGTCCCGGAAACAGATTAACTCTACTTCATCTGCCCCATGTATCTTGGGCACGAACTGGAAAAAGATGATGATGATGGTTTAAACTCGCTATATTCGGGTTAGCAACCGCACAAAAAAAGAATTAAAAAATCAAAATTCGCATAAAACGCATTCATGAATATAACAAACGAGCCGAACCGCGGCATAACATACGCCGCTATTTAGTTGTTGTTTTTTCTACTTTTCAGTTATTCATAATTTGTAAATTCAACACTACCAATGCTGCCACTGGAAATATTTCTTTAAAACACTATAAGTAGCTCGTTAAGGACGATAATCCCCCCCCTCCTTCCCCCCACCCCCTCCGTTAAAGTAAACTTCACTTAGTTACCCCCCCCCCCTACGTTTAAAATAGTTTCAAACTAAATTATCTGCCCCTAATAGTCGTCACTAAACCCGGCTCTGTTTGTAAGCATTTAGAGTGAACCACAGCTCACCAGACCATGTAGGGGTTGGGGTGGTAGGGAGCGCGTTTACGGCTTGTTTTCTAGCGACTCCCAGAAGAGAATTATATATATAGATAGTTTGACCCGTGTTACGATCAGTAACATTTGATGTTTGTATTTACAGCTGACACTAATCTTTACCTGCCGTCAAAAACTCCGTCCACTGGTCAGAGACATGTGGGTCAGTTACAGCTTAAAACATTGCAAGACGTCGTCTCTAGTAGGATGTAAGATTGCTTTAGTCTAATCCTAACCCATGTTTAAATGTTGTGTAAATATAAGATTTGTTTAGCCTAAACTTAATGCAAGTTATTGTGTAAATATAAGATTTGCTTATCCTAAACTTAATTCAAGTTATTGTGTAAATATAAGATTTGTTTATCCTAAACTTAATTCAAGTTATTTTGTAAATATAAGATTTACTTAACCTAAACTTAACTCAAGTTTTTGTGTAAATATAAGATTTTTTAAACTTAAACTTAACTCAAGGTATTGTATAGATATATAGATATAAGATTTGTTTAACTTAAACTTAATTCAAATTATTGTGTAAATATAAGATTTGTTTAATCTAAACTTAACTCAAGTTATTGTGTAAATATAAGATTTGTTTAACTTAAACTTAACTCAAGGTATTGTATAAACATAAGATTTGTTTAACCTAAACTTAATTCAAGTTATTGTGTAAATATAAGATTTGTTTATCCTAAACTTAATTCAAGTTATTGTGAAAATATAAGATTTACTTAACCTAAACTTAACTCAAGTTTTTGTGTAAATATAAGATTTTTTTAACTTAAACTTAACTCAAGGTATTGTATAGATATAAGATTTGTTTAACTTAAACTTAATTCAAATTATTGTGTAAATATAAGATTTGTTTAATCTAAACTTAACTCAAGTTATTGTGTAAATATAAGATTTGTTTAACTTAAACTTAACTCAAGGTATTGTATAAACATAAGATTTGTTTAACCTAAACTTAATTCAAGTTATTGTGTAAATATAAGATTTGTTTATCCTAAACTTAATTCAAGTTATTGTGAAAATATAAGATTTGCTCAACGAGGCCTTAACCCATCTTTAAATGTTGGCCTGCTAACCCGAAAGTCCTGAGTTCTGATCACGTGCTTGAGTCAATGAGACCTCCCTGGATTCACCTACTTCCCACTGACACTGCTCACGTTAGGGAAAGTAATTAATACTGACCACACTAGCCCTTCATACGATGAGGTCGCTGAAACAGGTGAAATCTACTTCACCAGCCCCTTAGTTTAGAAAAGTGTACTTTTTTTTAGTTGACAGCTATGTAATACTTCCTGATTTTTACGTCCACAAACAACATTGTCCTTTCCCTTTCTTGTTCTCACTTTTCCATTATTATGTGTATTGTTGTTTTCTACTGACTTCAATATGTTGTGTTGTTATTTATTGTGGCTAGAAAATCTAACATCGTTTAATGTTTGTTTCATGCGTCTTTACAGAGACAACGAAGACACAAGACAGGTGAGAAAAGACAGAATGGATTTTGATGAAGATGGGGGTAGAATACCTTATAACAAACAGGTACGTGTATACAAAGTATATAGATAAATATGTTGATTGTATGCACAGATAATAAATAGGAAATTGTTCAGGTCATTAATAATGTTATATTTTTATCATAATTCAACAAGACAAATGAGTACGAACAGACGACAGTGTTTCCATGGGATCAAAAACATTATGGAGAAACTCAGGTAGCCGTCCATCTACTCGTCTCTGTGTTAAGATTATGTGTGTTCTGGACGATGTGTACTAAAGTCATATGTTGAACATCAATGGTATATACATACATACATACATATATATATATATATATATATATATATATATATATATATATGTAACACATATGGTTACCAGCCAAAGGGGGATAAAACTATGAAGTTTTTATTCATTGGGTTGCGGCCCCTGTGGGACTGCAACTGAACTGTTGACGTTTTTTTATGCTTTTGTGAGCGAAATTACCTGTGTTCCATGTCATGTGACATGTGCCTAGTCGTGTCGCACACGCAAGGCTGCTGTCTGTGGACCAAGATGTAGACCTAATGAAGGTAGTGTAGATATTTAAATTATGTTTGTTAAAGTACTTACTTATGTATTCCTGCTAGTGCTGCATGTGCACACTAGTTAGGGTGATGTATTAAATTAAGTATTTATTTTGTAGTACTACTTATTGGTACTTGTTGGCAGTACTGTGTACTGGCCGAAAACATAATTTATTGTACCCGTGTATATTGTAGCTTACACGTGGTGTTGTCCTGAATGTAACTTTTTTATTTTACATTTGTTTTAGGGCTACAGTTTCAGTTTCTATTTTGATCTTTTGATCTTTTGATCTTTTGGTCTTTTGGATTGTTTGGATCTTTTGGTCTATCTTGGCTAGTTCGTTTTGTGTTGCATCGCCGTCATGGCTCGATGCTATAAATAAACGAGTACTTGACAACAACTGTCGGCGTCGGTGTGTACTTAATCTCAGGGTCAGCCCGTCTTAAACCACAACACCTCAGTGGGTAAAAGCATCCCCACTGAGTGAGGGTTACATTTGGCGCCCAACGTGGGGCTTGACCTTGGGAGATAGGATGGAAGACAGCGACCCGACGTTGGAGAAGTTGTCGCAGGAGCTGGCCAAGTTGACGGCTAAGATGGCGGCGATGCAGGCAGATGCGCAGCGGCCCGTGACGGTGGAGGTGTGCATGTCAACACACAATAGGCTGAACCTGTTCACCGGCCTTCCCCCCACTGGAGGAGGGGAGGTGAGTTTCCCGGACTGGGAAACCCAAGTACAGTGTTTGCTGCGGAACACCAGCGTTCCGAACCCGTTGCCACCCGTTTTAGGCAGCCTGAGAGGGATTGCCTATGAGCGGGTGAAGCAAGCTGCGAGTCCAGAGGAAGTGCTATGCCTCCTACAAAGCACTTTTGGCGACACCAGATGTGCCGAAGACAGGTATCTGCAGTTCAGCCGACTCACTCCACATCCAAGGGAGTCAGCGTCGGAATTTCTCTGCCGACTGTGGTCAGAGATGACGAAGCTAAACCAGCAGCGTATCTTTACTGAGGCCGATGCCCAGAAGAAGGTGTATCACACTTTCTGCAAGGGGGTTTCACCTCTTCTGGCGCTCGAACTTCGCGGCACATTTGGTTTCGCAGGGGAAGCCAGTCCGAAGGTGGAGGACGTCCTGAAAGCTGTTAAAAGGCTGGACGGGACAACTGAGTCCCCAGTCGTAGCCACGGCAGCAGCTAACAGGACTATCCAGGTCGACGCAGTAACGGCAGCTGTTCACCAAGAGACGACGCCGCCGCTGATGCTCACGGAGGAGCAACTCGACCGTCTGGCGGAGAAGGTCGACGCAGTAACGGTAGCTGGTCGCCCGGAGACTACGCCGCTGATGCTCACGGAGGAACAACTCGACCGTCTGGCGGAGAAGGTGGCAGATATCCTAGCCCGGAAACAACAGCCCTCCAGAGGAGCTTGTTACGGGTGCGGGTCCACGAAGCACTTCGTCCGCGACTGTCCGAGAAAAGCAGCAAGGCAACGGGGTCAGCAGCAGGGAAACGCCAGTCCATCAGCGTCGGGGAGCGGATGCTGATGCGTGTTCTGCCAAGCTCCCAGCCCAAGTTTACGCCACCGAGATCATCACAGTGTCGAGCAACCACAGCTCAGGTTACCTCGCCTAGCGGCTGGAGGTACGGCTGTCGGGTGTTCCGCCGTGGAGGAGGGTTGCAGCCGGAGGGTGCGCGTGAGGAGGGTAGACAGCCACACTATGCATGTCAGTCTCAGCGCGAGCAAGATCGTCGCTTGGGAGACAGACATGACACAAGCAGAGGTCGGAGACGCCGCCGGAGGAGAGGCCGACGACGTGGTGGACGCCGCCGTGGTTGGCAGCGACCCGACTATACAATGTCGAGTGCTGAACCTACTGTGGCGGAGGGGGAGCGACGGAGAGAGATCGTCCCAACCAGTGAGGCAGATGAAGGTGAGGAACTGACAATCAAGGTAGTGGTCCCAACCAGACTTCGGCCGGAGGCAACGCCTTTCGTGCCCGAGGTGGTCGCCCGGGACGGACAAGACAAGGTGATGGTCAGGCCAGCCCCACATCTGGATGAGGTGAATGCGAGGGACGAGGCATCGGACGAGGATGACTCTTGGATCAACCCAGAACCACCAGCGGAGCTGCGGAGGTCAACCCGTCAACGACGACCCGTCGAGCGACTCAACCTGGCGCATCAAGTGGTGACCAGTACCTGCACTGGAGCCTCTACCGGTTTGCCGGGAATAATGTATTTAAGTTGAAAGGACTTAATGTCTGTGTACTAGTGTACTGAACTTTTTTTAAGTACTATTATGTATGAGTTGTAAATGTAAATGTAAATGTGAATTCCATTGTACATTTATTTGTGAGGGGGGCTGTGTAACACATATGGTTACCAGCCAAAGGGGGATAAAACTATGAAGTTTTTATTCATTGGGTTGCGGCCCCTGTGGGACTGCAACTGAACTGTTGACGTTTTTTTATGCTTTTGTGAGCGAAATTACCTGTGTTCCATGTCATGTGACATGTGCCTAGTCGTGTCGCACACGCAAGGCTGCTGTCTGTGGACCAAGATGTAGACCTAATGAAGGTAGTGTAGATATTTAAATTATGTTTGTTAAAGTACTTACTTATGTATTCCTGCTAGTGCTGCATGTGCACACTAGTTAGGGTGATGTATTAAATTAAGTATTTATTTTGTAGTACTACTTATTGGTACTTGTTGGCAGTACTGTGTACTGGCCGAAAACATAATTTATTGTACCCGTGTATATTGTAGCTTACACGTGGTGTTGTCCTGAATGTAACTTTTTTATTTTACATTTGTTTTAGGGCTACAGTTTCAGTTTCTATTTTGATCTTTTGATCTTTTGATCTTTTGGTCTTTTGGATTGTTTGGATCTTTTGGTCTATCTTGGCTAGTTCGTTTTGTGTTGCATCGCCGTCATGGCTCGATGCTATAAATAAACGAGTACTTGACAACAACTGTCGGCGTCGGTGTGTACTTAATCTCAGGGTCAGCCCGTCTTAAACCACAACACCTCAGTGGGTAAAAGCATCCCCACTGAGTGAGGGTTACATATATATATATATATATATATATATATATATATATCAGTGTTGCAGCTGTGTCGAAGATTAGGATGTTGTTACATTATATTTAGAAAAACCTTACATTATTTGTTCTGTATTGGATAGAAAAAAGACGAAGGACAGTTCGGTGGCCCGGGAGGGTCGTTGACCAAACGTCAGCAGGCCACGCCCCAGTTGTCGGACCCCAGGGTCGGCCAGCAGCAAGGGTACCCGTCCCAAGCCTTCTACCAGCCTCAGTCCCCGGGGGTCGGGAGGGAGTCGATGACACCGTTTGAGATGGCGGAGTACAGCAAGAAGCTCGGTAAGGTTGGTTGGGGGTATAGGGGTGTGTAGAGTTGTGGACGGGTGACGTGCAGGTAAGTTTGGGATCAATAAACTATTGAAGGTAAAACTAGATGTAGGTAACTTCAAGGTAAGTGTGGACAATTAACTGTGCAGGTGAATCTCGAGTTAGCCAGCTTGTATGTAAGTGTAAAACCATTAATTGCTGAATGTAAACCTGGAAATAGCCAACTTGTAGGTAAGTGTAAAACCATTAACGGCTGAACGTAAACCTGGAAATAGCCAACTCTTATGTAAGTGTAAAACCATTAATTGTTAAACGTAAAACTGGAAATAGCCAACTTGTAGGTAAGTGTAAAAACCGTTAATGGCTGAACGTCTAATTGGAAATAGCCAACTTGTATGTAAGTGTAAAACCATTAATTGCTGAACGTAAAACTGGAAATAGCCAATTTGTATGTAAGTGTAAAAACCGTTAATGCGGAACAAAAAACTGGAAATAAGTAACTGTAGAAAAGATAATCTCGATGTCTATGTAACAGTGACAGAGACAAAAAACTATCTTGTTTAGTTCTAAACTATTTCCATTTTTTTTCAAACTTCTAAAATAAATAAGCGAAAATCATTAAATTTGCCTAAATCATTGTATTAGAAACTTGAGATTTGCCATTGTATTTATTCGTCTTAGTGATACATTGCTGTCACAACATTTTACTTTTAGTATTTCTATACGTCTATAAATGTATTGAATACATTGTCTCTATGACTTATTATATAATGTTGTTGTTTTTATTTGGCAGCCAAAGTGAGCGAAGAGAAGCGGTTACTAAAGGAACAGAGAAGAGAAACTAACTTTAGACAAGAACCAGATATTGTGAGAAGAGTTATCGAACGTATAGTTTAATCAAAACACTGTTCTACGATAAATGTTTCTGATTACAATTTAAATACTGTAACAAAAAAAAAAAGAATCACGTACAACGTTACTACGATCTATTAATAAACATATCATCTAAAATTAGATTTTTAAAATATTTTTTTTTTCTTTTTGCAGCTAAGGAACGATAATCACCGACCCGAATACACGTACACTCCTCCAGGTTGGTTCCCTTCGTGTCTAGAATAAAAATCTTGACTTAATTTTACCGCTGTCCTTTTTGTGTTAAAATTTTTATTCATTGGTCCAATATTTTTTACTATGTATAACAACGTGACTATTTTTTATTCCTCAAGATTTCGGACGTTTCGATAGAAAAGAAGAAGTAAGTTTTTTTTATTATATTTTGGATTAATTCATTTTTTGGTGTGTGTTAAATGTGTGTCACTGGGTCAATAGGTCACTAGTTCAGGCGGTACAAGTGTTGTAATGTCTCAAGGGAGTGAATGAGACTCTTTATTTTTAAAAAATAAATATTCGTAAAAATATTTTAAACGATGTGAACTAAAAGTTAATCTAAATAATTGATTAGCTTACTCCTCTAATTAACGTTCATAAATATGTTTTAGATGTATGACCTAAAAGTTTTAATAGCATATTTTTAATGATGTTATATGTTATATATAAAAGGAATTAATTAAGAAATAAAAATGTAAAATATTGCTATTCTTTGGCATATTTACATAATTTTCATTTTTAATGAATTAGTAATATATTTTAGTAGGCCTACATGTTGAAATCTAAAAATAAAATAAAATGAACATTTCATTATGAATTTCTAATACATAATTAATTAGAATCTTTTTTTTTTATTTCTCTGTTGTAATTTAATGACGTTGTGTTAATGTGGTTTTTTTCTTCTTATTTGTGTGTGTAGCAACGGAGCCTCGATCTCGAGAACACAAGGGGAGGAGCAGGGGCGCCTTATAAAGACGAGAGGGGAAAGAGCGTCACTAGAAGGCCGATAACTCTCAGTCGAGACGATTACGGTGGTAATAATAGATTACTTCCCTTGGTTAAGTAAATATTTGTTTTCTTGAGCAGAGTATCTTCCAGGCATCTCTTTCCCCCCCCCCCCCCCCCCCCCCCGAAGAAAGTCTTTCCCCCCCCCCCCCCTCGAACGAAATAAAATGTATATAGAAAATATATACTTTTAACAGTGTCCGCCCCCCCCCCTTCCGCCCGAAGAAAGTCTACCGCCCCCAACCCCCCCTAAAATTTCAAGTGCCCCCTGGAAGAAGCACTGTTCTTGAGTGTAGAAGCTAACGTCCTTTATTGTCAGTAGACAATACGCTAGCAGCATAATTAGTTGTGTTTTTGCTGTTGGGCCGGCGTAGTCTAACAGTAGAGTGCGAGACTGCTAAATCGAAAGTCTCCAGTTCGAATCCGAGTTCTTGCGTGATGGAAAATAAAAGCGGATGTGACTAGTGCTGAATCCCTTTATATTCCGAGGTTGCAGAAATAGACAAACTGTACTAGACTTGCCCCACGGACCGTCAGGTTCCAAAAGGGAACTTTTTTTTTTTTGTGGTGATTGTATTTAGCTGTTAACAAATAACAAAACCTCTTCAATGTTCGATGACTTGACAACAAATTATCATAACATTTTTACTTTCTCGTATATACGAAGTATAGAGAAAGTCTTGTAATCGTGCAAAAAAAAAATCGAGATTTTTACAAATCTCGACGTTTCACACCTCACTGATACGGAAAAACATAATTTTGCAATCTTGTCCGTATATCTGTGTGTCTGTCTGTGTGTCTGTCTGTGTGTCTGTCTGTCTGTCCGTGTGTAAACACGATAACTTGAGTGCAATCTTGTCCGTATGTCTGTGTGTCTGTGTGTGTGTGTGTGTGTCTGTGTGTGTGTGTGTGTAAACACGATTACTTGAGTACCGTTACAGCTAGGTTGATGAAATTTCAAATATAAGTAGTTTATCAAAATCGTAGATCCGTATCAACTTTTGAGCGATTTCCGATAACCGGAAGTGGTACTTTTTCTACTTTAAATTTTTCAAAAGCCTATAACTTGAGTACTATTTCAGATAGATAAATGAAATTTCACATGTAAGTAAAAGATCTAATTCTCTACCTTCTGTTAAATTTTGAGTAATTTCCGTTGATGGGAAGTACTAATTTACGCTATTTCCGATTTCTCAAAAACGCATCTAAATTTATAAAGTACTAATAATAGTGCGCACCATTATGAACATCTTTATTCGGCGTTCGCTTGGTGTGCAATACTTTTTTCTATGAGATTTTTTTTTTTTTTAAAAAGTGTATGTATTTAAAATGGATTAAAAATCAGATCTATATCCCGAGTTCCCATCCCCTCTTGTTTTATATAAGAATATTCGAGAAAGTTTAGGGGAGATCACTCCCGGTTTATTTTTCTAAACATCAAAATATTTTTTTGAATTTATACATATGTCTTTGTTTCAACAGAATCCAGAATCAAAGAGACGGTGCCCGGTCGAGCTAACAAAGAGAACATCTTTGAAGATGAAAACAAACCTTACTTCCCGTGGGGCGGGCAGGGGGGTGGGGCACCCCTGAGGGACAAAAACGGCAATGTCATGACTCAAGTATATGGGAAACTGGAAGGAAAAGATGTAAGTCACAAGCCTATATATATTTTTTTTATTTTCAATTTATTTACAAAATTTATATTTAAATATAAAATAGTTATTAAGCCCTAAATCTTTATATTATTAGTGTTGAATTGCCCCCCTTAGTGGTGTGTCTAGGGCTAAGAGTCACATGGCGGGGCCCACCCCTCTCCATGCCTGACCACAGTAGGTTGCCTCCATCTGGGTTGCTCGCCTTGGTCACGAATACAAGGTCGTTGAAGTTCATCTAGGAACTCTTGCACCCTGGCCGATGACCTTTACTGGAAGGTCATACGTTGCCGTGTTAGCATCAGTTGTTTGATTTTGGAGCTGTCTCTACGAGATAAGTTGCTGTTCCAAGCTATCAAATTTCATCTGCCCAACCCGATCACCCCGATAGCATTTTTTCAAAATCTTTACCCTAGCGTGACCCTAATAAAAGTTGTAGAATATAAATATGGCCGTAATATTTTAAATATTCACAATAAAATGTCTACGAAAGTAATGTATACATATTAGTATAGGCTGTAGCATTTTAAAATGACGGGTTTACTACACTGTGTAATGCAATTATACAAGTTATTTCACATTTTTAATTAACAAAAAAAAAAGTTCTATGAAGCGTTTTGATTGTGTATGGGTTACTTCTTCGGCGACTAAAGTATTGACAGATTTATAATCAACTAATATCATTAATACTACCACCGTTTATTTGACTAGTATTGCCATGATGTAAAACGTGTCTACCCTTTCTGTTTCTCTAGTACCATGAAACAGAAGCCATCAGAAACAGACGGAGACAAGAAGCATTTTTCAATGAGCTCAGTAAGTCTGTCTGGATAGGTAGTGATATTTCTGGTTTAATGCATGTACTCAAGTGGTGTATGATATTCAAATTTCTAGTGTAATGCATGTAAGCACGTGGTGTCTGATATTCAAATTCTAGTGTAATGCATGTAAGCACGTGGTGTGTGATATTCAAATTTCTAGTGTAATGCATGTAAGCACGTGGTGTCTAATATTCAAATTTCTAGTGTAATGCATGTAAGCACGTGGTTTGTGATATTCAAATTTCTAGTGTAATGCATGTACTCACTTGGTGTCTGATATTCAAATTTCTAGTGTAATGCATGTACTCACGTGGTGTCTGATATTCAAATTTCTAGTGTAATGCATGTACTCACGTGGTGTCTGATATTCAAATTCTAGTGTAATGCATGTAAGCACGTGGTGTCTGATATTCAAATTTCTAGTGTATTAAATGCGTATTAAATGCTTTAGTCAGAATAGTCATGCCAATGTTTCAAAATAATTTTAAAATCTGAAACATGATTTCTCGCACTGTAGTACTAATGTTACACAAAATTTCGACAAAGCTCGCTTTTTTTTTTTCTAGAATTGATGCATTTATGTTTCATAAAATCTCAATAAAAACCACTTTTTCTATGAATGTCTTCAAGATGTTGACGCAGATGTTTTTGTTCTGTTGTACAGAAGAGGTGGAGATGCAGCAGAAGGAGAAGAAGGACGAATTCAACAGATTCCTGAAGGCACCAGTAAGTGACACGTCAACGTTCTTGGAATGTATATCTGGGGACTCCATTTATTTAGATGATTTGTAACCATATTTCTTTATGTTCACTTTGGTAAACTATTGTTAGTGTATTTGTGTATATGTGTATGTTCTTCTCTGGCTATGGGCGGGGAAAAAAGGAAAACCAAAAAACCGGATTAAATATAAAGATAATGAAATTTTCCCAGTTACACATTGTCCAGCAAAGCACACAATAAAATTACACAAATAAATCTAAAGAAAAACCTCACTAGAAATGTACATTCAAATTGATCCACTTTGTTGTATATTTATTTCTGGCATTGGCCAGCAAAGAAACATATTCATCATTTGGCTGCCTGAAATCGATTTAGTTTTATAAAACTGGATAAGTTTTTGCGACTGTAAAATTCGAAGGCATGTATTAAGTTACTAATTAACACAGACACCGTGAACACTTTATTTTTCGCTCATGTAGCAAACTGAGCTCGCTGAGGTAATGATGGCTGGTCGCGTGGGAAAACCGAAAAGGTACGAGTCTACTGGTGAGATAGCTCAGCATCACCTCGGCATGTCTGATATTTCTAAAGTGGTGAGTAGATAATATACTCCGTCTAGGGTAATTTGGTATTTTTAAAAACGTGAGTTGTTTCATACTAACCCCATATAGGGGTTTGATATAACAAACCCTACCAATTTGAGATAAATAATCCTTCACTTTCTGACAGACAAAAGCAAAAGCAGAGGGCAAGATTCAACTAACTACCATTAATGTTTTAGCAACTAATGTTTTAGCATTCGTGAATAATAAATTGAAATTTAAAATACAAAGTCATTGGCTGTTTTAAAAAAAAACAACTAAAGAACTATATTTAAATTAGTTTTAAGTGTAGGAATCTGACTATGTATGTCATATAGATAGAACATGTTAAATGTATCCTGATTGGTTAAATCTGAACAGAAAGCCAACTATCAGCCTGTGCCAGCCAATGAGAAGAAGCGTTACCATGACGAGCTAGTTCAGATGGCGGAGGAGAGGCAGTACCTGAAACAACTGGAGAAGTTTAAAGAGAGGCAGGAATCTAATGCTGTGAGTAGAATAGTTGTCTAGTCATACGATATAATGCTGTGAGTAGAATAGTTGTCTAGCCATACGATATAATGCTGTAAGTAGAATAGTTGTCTAGCCCTACGATATAATGCTGTGAGTAGAACAATCGACTAGCCACACGCTATAATGCTGTGAGTAGAATAGTCGTCTAGTCATACGATATAATGATGTGAGTAGAATAGTTGTCTAGCCATACGATATAATGCTGTGAGTAGAATAGTTGTCTAGCCACACGATATAATGCTGTGAGTAGAATAGTCGTCTAGCCATACGATATAATGCTGTGAGTAGAATAGTTGTCTAGCCACACGATATAATGCTGTGAGTAGAACAATCGACTAGTCATACGATATAATGCTGTGAGTAGAACATTTGACTAGCCACACGATATAATGCTGTGAGTAGAACAATCGACTAGCCACACGCTATAATGCTGTGAGTAGAACAATCGACTAGTCGCACGCTATATTGCTGTGAGTAGAATAGTCGTCTAGCCATACGATATAATGCTGTGAGTAGAACAATCGACTAGCCACACGCTATAATGCTGTGAGTAGAATAGTCGTCTAGTCATACGATATAATACTGTGAGTAGAATAGTTGTCTAGCCATACGATATAATGCTGTGAGTAGAATAGTTGTCTAGCCATACGATATAATGCTGTGAGTAGAGTAGTCGTCTAGCCATACGATATAATGCTGTGAGTAGAATAGTTGTCTAGCCACACGCTATAATAATGTGAGTAGAATAGTCGTCTAGCCACAAAATATAATGCTGTGAGTAGAACAATGGTCTATCCACACGACATAAACCTTTAAATAGAAAAACGATCTAATCACACAACATCAACCTGTAAATAGACCAGTTGTCTAGCCACACGACATAAAGCTACACAATATAAGACTGTGTAATAAACAATAGCCTAGTGACACAAACCACACAAGGTTGTCTACTAACTTTTAACGTAACAAGTTTTTTGGTCTTCATAATAGTTGTAAAATGTTTTTATATTTACATTTGACCAACTTCATATTGTTAAATATTACCTCCCAAAGCTTCATAACATGTTGAGACCAGTTTTGTTCATTTTGTCAGCACTTTAAAAACATGGACTCGTCCTGGGGAAATATCGGGGGTGGGGCTCCCAAACACCAGGTCATCAGAAAGAAGGTCAACTTGACCAACGCATTGTACTACAACGACAAAGCAGACAAAGCTCCGGTAAGTAAAACACACAAAAAAAATCAGTTGTGCGTTTGTTACAAAACTAACAGGATTGATTTATGAATTAGTAGCATAATATTATTTACTAGTTTGTGTGAAAATATATATTCGATAATGACCATCCATGTAACGTATAGTTCCCACATATACGTTATCTTCACATACGGGGTTACAGTGAGGTTAGCAGCTTTTACTTTCCATAATGTGAGTTAGGTATCCACCAGAGCTGATAACGTCCTACATATTGTCTTCGGGACACGAACAGCAGACTTTGGGGTTAGTAGATGTAAGCTCTACCGTGCGGCCAGGCTCTACCGTAGGTTCAACGATAAACGACAGCAAGCACATAGAATGATAAAGAGTTAGGGTTATTGAACTTTGTGGGTGATATAATCCAAGTAGAAGCAGGGGTTGGAGTTTCTGATGTAGGGGTATTAACATAAACAATTGGGTACTAAGTTTTTATCTTTTAAAACGATGGTTAATTACATTTAAATTTAGGGATAAGAGTGATCGGGCATGTAAGCCCATTGTTGCTAACACGAAAGTCGCTAGCTTAAACCCTCGAGCAGGCTCGTTAGCTGGGGATAGCAACCCATCTAGGAGAAAACTTTGACTCTCTAATCCTACTGCCCAGGCAATGTGCTTGAATTATATATATATATATATATATATATATATATATATATATATATATATATATATATATATATACTCTTTTCTACAGGAAACCCCGTTAGCCCCGTTAATCTATCAGAGTCATCAACCACCAACTGGTTTAGGATCATTTGAGTTTCTTGAGGTCAGTGTATAGGCTATTATATCGTTTTCTTATTCATTTACATATAGTGCTTATTCATATATATTATGTATACACACACACACACACACATATATATATATATATATATATATATATATATATATATATATATATGTATATATATGTGTGTGTGTGTGTGTGTGTGTAATGAGGGTTATTATCTTCCACACAATAAGTCTCAACGGTCAGACGCAGGGTACCAGAAATTGACCCTGGATGACACCAGCAGAAGAATTATGTCCCCTGAAATGACGCCTGCCTTTCTCAAGAATACGAACAATGGTTCTCACAAGAACCTGTACCAACCCAGCCATGATCATCTGTATGAGGTACGTCAGTGTTGTGTTATGTGTTAACAATGGAAGTGTGAGACATCACAACTTACATCAGCTGTATGAGGTAAGTCAGTGTTGTGTTATGTGTTAACAATGGAAGTGTGAGACATCACAACTTACATCAGCTGTATGAGGTAAGTCAGTGTTGTGTTATGTGTTAACAATGGAAGTGTGAGATATCACAACTTACATAAGCTGTGTGAAGTACGTCAGTGTTGTGTTATGTGTTAACAATGGAAGTGTGAGATATCACAACTTACATCAGCTGTGTGAGGTACGTCAGTGTTGTGTTATGTGTTAACAATGGAAGTGTGAGATATCACAACTTACATCAGCTGTGTGAGGTACGTCAGTGTTGTGTTATGTGTTAACAATGGAAATGTGTGGCATCACAGCCATGATTAGCTGTATGAGGTAAGGGACGTTTTGGTCGAATGGTAGAGCATTTGGCTATTAACACGAAGATCTCGAGTTCAGATCTCGTTTCGTCCTTGTAACTTTAGAACGTCTATGAGTCCTAAATCTCAGATGGGTACCTAACTCACGTTACGGAAAGTATAGGCGGTTGGGCAAATTGCTGACCACACAATCCTTTCATACGTCGTGGTCACAAAAATGGGTGAAATATACTTCACTTGCCTCATGGGTCAGGTTTTCGAAGACGGAACATTACTATTTTATTAAATTTCAACCACTATTTTAAATCTGACTCTCCACAGAAATCTGGCCACCATCCAGTGGCACCATATGCCACCGGAGGCTTCAGGTGAGGGACAGCCACACAGAAACCTGGCCGCCACACCCGCCCCGTCGCGACTCCACACCTCTGGAAGGAGATTTCTCTTGCGGCGCTGCTACCCCGGTTGTCTAGTTATCAACAATAGAATCATGTTTCTGATATTTTAAATTATGTGCCCTCAAAATTATTGGTTTAAATATATTTTAACATGTGTTTCAAATAAAACAATTTCCTGAATTTTTATGTAATCATGTATATTATTTAGTTGGGATATTTTTAAAAAAACACATATTCAAAGCAGTGTCCAGTTATGACATAACACAAACTTAAGGAGTGTTCTGGAAGAAACACTGTGTAATACTAATCTGCCATTGCGTGTTTGGTACATTTTCCGCGCCCCAAATGTGACACCTGGCAGTGTCCGTTAGCTCATTCAGTATTGGAGGAAGAGGGTGGGAGGGGTGTGTGGGTTTGGGTGTTTATTTCTTCCTAACATTCTGATTCTTGCCATTGAAGTACCAAAGTAATCCAAAGGCAACTCGATGGTAGATCTAATTTTAGATTCAGGCCACTCAAATTGAAACTGAGGAATTGAACATTAATTCAAAAATAGATTTATTTTAATCTTAAAATTTTTAACTATAAAATAGTGTTTTAAATTTATTGTTTTAAAAATATAAAAACAATTTTTTACCAATTCAAAAAAAAATTGTTTTATAAAGAAAATTTCAAATTTGAGTCTCGTTTGTTTTGTTTTAGACAAATACTATTTTTTGTTAATTTTGTAAAAACATATTTTTAAACTACTCCCTTTAAATTATCTAAGTGTTAAGATGGGAGGTAATTAAGTGCAGTAGGCTAATTAAAAAGGCCAAATGGTGTTACCTCTGCCTCTGGAAAACACGTAAAATTGCGCCCAAAAAGGCTATGTGAATCATGATATAAAAGTCAATAACTGCCTAGCTCAATAAATCATGAATGTGGAACAATTTGTTTTGGAAAAATCGACATATCACAATAAAATTCAAACAATTAATTGAAGAATAACATCGGTGAACGAAGCTTTAAATCAAACATGAAATGCAAATAAAATTAAATTATGTATTGTACGCTCGTCATCAACAAACTCCTAAATATTGCTAGTCTTTATTTTCGCACATTAAAAACCATTTAAGTCGCTGATGTATAACCTTTAATTTGGCTGAAATTAAAACAGCGGTTGAGAACGAATTTCGGCCTTTTTACAAGCTTTTATTTAACTTGCTTCCTCTGTCAGTACTCTGTCTGTCTGCCATCATAGATCGAAGCGGACGAGCGAAATTTTGGGCAATTCGAACCGATCAATTTAAATTTGACTTAATTAGATGACTATTTAATTTTTATGAATTAATTTAAATTTTATGAAATTAGTAGGCTGTTCTATACAATTATCCCACACTATTATACGCGCACTATATATCTTTGATTTGTTGATTTGTTTGGCAATTGTAAATCCAAAAATTAAAGTAGTAAAAAAAAATGTTCATTAAAAAAAATAAGGGGTCGGCGTGGTCGAATTGATAAAGCTAATGGTTGCTAAGCCACTGTTCTAGAGAGACATCTCCTAAATCAAAGAACTGCTGCCTATGGAAGCAAATCCAAAAAGAAAAGCAGGCTGAAATCGGAATCAATGCCTCAATGGCGCATAACCAGTTGACACGTATTCTTCATAGTATTGGAGGGGATCCCTTCCAACACTAAAATTAAGAACGAAGAATACACTAAAAAGGGGAAAATAAATGATTTTTTTCAAATGTAAAACAATACTTTACTATTTAAATAACTAGAAAGAAAAGCGTAGTAGCTTCGTAAATATTAGTAAAAGTATTTAATAGACGAACTAGTGACCCGTGCATGCTGATGTCTGTAAATTGTGGTCACAGACGGATGCATTCACGGGGCAGATAATCGTCATTCAGATATCGCGATGGTGTTTTAAAGAAAATGTTTTTAGTCGTGTCAACTTCATCAATTTGTAATCACTAAAATGTGATTAGTTTCATTTTCTTATTTCCAGTGCAATTAAAATCTTGTTTCTATAAAGGAGTTAATATTTGTTTTATTTCCTTGTTAACTCCCAATTTAGTATTGAACATAGTAATCTTTAAAACTTAATTTCAATGATTTATATAATTTCTAGTTAGATTTAAAATTAGATATTCTTGCGATGTCATCAAAGACGATGATATTTGGAAATCGGTGCGTCAGGAGTGGGTCAAACTTGAGTAACAGGATTTGTCACATATCCTCAACAAATAGACAATGTGAACTAAGTAAAAGCTTGTAAAAATTTAAGACCAGGAATGGGGCGGCTAGGTTCACACTTGACACAAACGTGTTTACTCGTACAAATAGGAGAAGAACTACGTGACAATAACAACGAAGACTGAACAGTAACGAAAGACGAGGTTGACTTTTTTTTCTTCCGCTTTGTTCTTAATAAAATTGTAATGTTGAAAGGGATTTATTTCAACACAATTAATTATTACGTGTCAAGCTGTTGTGCGACATATAGGCCGTTGACTCCGATTTCGGCCTTCTTTTATATTTCGGATTCGATTCCATGCTAAATATGTCATAGTCTGTTGATCGGCAAAATGTTGTCGAGTAGCGTAGAAATATAAATAAAAAGTTAGAACCAAGGGAGGCAACGCTTGAATGCTTAGCTAGATTTTCTGAATTAACTCTCTTTTGATTTTAAAATAACAACCACAATGATTTGGGAGGCAATTAAATTAATTAAACAAAAAAAAATTGTACGATATTTGCTTAATATTCTTCCTTAGTTTAATCGACCACAATATATATATATTTTTTTTAATTTTCCAATTTTAGGTCGACCAATGATGTGTAAAGTGAATATTCCCATACATATTTTTTGTTTTATTTTAAACATTTTTTATCACGAACTTTCAGTTAAAGTTAAAGTAATTAAAAGAAATATTAGAGAGAAGTTTAAAGGCCCTTTAATTGGTTACTCAAACATATAGTTCCAAAGACAACATTATAAAGCTGTTTGTCTCAACAACAACAAAAAATAATAAAGCTGTATGTCTGAGTTAGAAATTTCACATCTTTCTTTTAAAAATCAAGAGAACTATACTTTATAATTAAAATTGATTTACAAAATCAATTTTAACTTAGAAATAAATTTTAAAATTGCATGTAATATTATCATTATATTGTGTATATTATTCAATTCAGCCTAAAACATATATAACATTAAATATTATAAATCAGACAAATAATCACTCTCCTGAAATTATGGAACTTTCAATTTTCACAGCAGAAACTTGAAATCTAACAACACTGGGGAAGCTACAAATCAACCGAAAAAGAAAAAAAAAACGCGTTATTAAGGGATACATGAAGTTTTTTTTTTTAAATTTATTCATCAACATCAAGAAAATTAGCATTGATAGATGCTTGGTAATTAACAACTTTTCTCGAAAAAAAAATCGCTACATTTGTTTTGAATTTTTTAAATTCATATTTTTTATAGTTCCAGCCAAACTTATTTGCTAAGTATGTTAAGCGTGTGTTTAATGTCCCATGTGTTATCATACCGGCTATAAAATCAGTGGTTTTATTACCGTACTTGTAACTCGTGTCACCCCCTGCTATAAACCAGTCATCAGGACTTTGTTTATTATGCTGCTATCGTTCGGTGTTAGCTCACTGTTGTGTTGAACTCATACACAGCACACAGACAGCTGCTGTGTTCAACAGTGTCACGACACATTTAAAGATGTGTTTATTTAAGGCGGTGTTCTACTCTAGTCTGTGTTGAACACAATAAAACATGTAGTTTAAACACTCACGCCTGTGTTAAACACAATCACAACTACGTTTAACATAATAAAGCCAGTGTTAAACACAATCACATCTACGTTTAACATAATAAAGCCAGTGTTAAACACAATCACATCTACGTTTAACATAATAAAGCCAGTGTTAAACACAATCACATCTACGTTTAACATAATAAAGCCTCTCTCCACCCAAATTCGTCAGCATGCAAACGGCGAGCTATGTCCGTTTTATTTAAAAAATGTTTCCTATCGACCCCCCCCCTCCCCCCTCCCTATCTCTCTCTTCTTAATTGTACCGTTTTTGTCTTTGTGTATCGAAATTAATAGTTGTTTTTTTTAAACACCTGGACTCACCTAAGTGTAAGAAGACAGGTATGTGACATACATGAAAAACTCCGATAATATGTCTTGTGGGAAGATGTGTGACATAATAATGACTCAAGTAATGTTACAATAACGTTACAGTGTGACACTCTACTAAGTTCTGAGACGGTTTATCAAAAAAATAAATATTTACACTTTACAGGTGACTATTTTTGATTAATGATTGTTATAAAGGGGCCCCTAATACCTGTTAATTTCTCCGTTGCTATAATTTATAACTATACAGTTATTCAGACGTCGGTCACAAGTCTACTTGTCCGGAGTAATTGAATGGCTTTCTTGACAAAACATGAATCAGTCAAGCAAGTGGCGTCACAATACTGGGACGAGAGGTGCGGACCACACCAGGTAACACCATCAAGTGTGTGACTCCAACACATAATGAAAAATGATTTTAAAAATTAAAAGTTATATACATCGAAGATAGGCTCACACCATATTGCCTATAGCTCGAGTATAAATATTACGGATAATCATTTGCGGAAGGGGAGACGCCCACATCGGATTCCACCCGACATACTAGTAGGGACCTAGTGAAACCAATGAGTCAAGCATGTATGAGTCCTTGTATCATAATGTTCAGTTTATTGAGGAATTAAAACTGTTTAACTCTTACATTCCATGAGTTTTCAGTCATACGTTACTATAACTATGTTTCTCTAACTTAGCAGTCACTAACGATAATTGATTTTTTAAATTTAAAATACTCCACAGTTAAACGAGATTAACAATAGTTTACGCAATCAAAGTTTACTTGTACACTTCGATCAAGACCGACAACTCTAAAATAGAAACATGTTACTATTTTAAATTAAAATACTCTCTACTGCTACACCTCCAGCTTCCAATCACGGCTCCTATAGTCCATGCAACTCTGTCGCTCTATGTTCAGCTACCTATCACGGCTCCTATAGTCCATGCAACTCTGTCGCTCTATGTTCAGCTACCTATCACGGCTCCTATAGTCCATGCAACTCTGTCGCTCTATGTTCAGCTACCTATCACGGCTCCTATAGTCCATGCAACTCTGTCGCTCTATGTTCAGCTACCTATCACGGCTCCTATAGTCCATGCAGCTCTGTCGCTCTATGTTCAGCTACCTATCACGGCTCCTACAGTCCATCAACTCTGTCGCTCTAGGTCCAGCTACCTATCACGGCTCCTACAGTCCATGCAACTCTGTCGCTCTAGGTTCAGCTTCCTATTCCGGCTCCCATTCCTCAGGATTGCGTGTCCTTCACCTCTAAAACCGTGCCACATTTTTATATTCCATTTTGACGTTATTTAAACTAGATCACATTATATATTCAGGAAATAAAAATACGATAGTGTAAAAAAAACCACCTTTGGGTTTTATCAGGTTCAAGTTTAGCATGTCAGGGACCAAGAAAGCTGTACAAGGCATAATTTGCATGATAGCAGACCCTTATCCTAGCGGCAAGCCGTTCTCGACACCCTAAACCTCAAGCAGATGGTTCATAAAATTATGAATTTCATAAAAAAATGTAATAATAAAACAAGATTTGTTTTTAAAATAAGGCACACTTCACCGCACTTGTCTAGCGATCAAAGAATGTAAGAATGTCGAGGTCAGCATATTAAAGTGAACGGAACAGGTATTAACATTTGGTCTTGAAGGTAGAGTATGATAAAAAATACGGGCTAATGTATTCAAAGTAGACTTCAAGGTTATACTTTTAATACTAGGCTAACACTGAAACCATTGTATAATGAGAGCGATTTTAATATGCATTAAACTAGCGCGTTAGGCTGCCATCCCGAAGGTATCGAGTTCGGATCTCGGTTCGGAACAGTGGTTATAGGACGCCCCTGCTCTAATGGACAGCTGTTCTACGTTGAGAAAAGTAAAGGCATTGTGCTGACTGCACCATCCTTTCATGTGCTAACATCAAAAGACAATATCACATTTCATTTGCCTAACAGATGTCGGGGTTTCAAGAGGAACTTTATAAGCGATTTTAGTGTGCATTTAAGTAGGGCTCCATTGTTTCTCCATCTCGGCAAAATGTCCAGCTGCCTTTAGTTTTTTATGTTCCCTAACCGCTGTCAGGTACATATTAGGGCGAACTCAAGGACGTCATGTAGTAAAGCCTTTGCACCCATATCCTTCTTCTTCTTCTTCGTTCTTAATTTTAGTGTCGGAAGGGAACCCCTCCTACAAAATTAAGGATACTGTCAACTGGTTATGCGTCATTGGGGTCATTGATTCCGATTTCAGCCTGCTTTTCTTCCATAGCCTTTGTCCAACCAAGAACAACTACAAGGCAGCAGTGGTTTGATTTTGGAGTTTTCTCTCCTAGAAGAATGGCTGTCCCCAGCTAACGGGCTCGAGACTATTCGGTTTAGCAACCTTGAGCTTTGCCGACTCGATCACGTCGACCCCTCACCCAGATCCGAGCTTGAAACCTTGAGCTGTTTGTCAACTTCTCTACCGATTGACCACGCCATCCCATTACATTAAACCAGGGGTCTCCAAACTTTTCAGTCCGGTTGCTATCAAATTTCAGTTTGGGAGCCAGTTAGTTCCTGACATGTCTTTGATTTTTCTGGTCAAAGTTCCTAAGCCATTACCAACAAACGTTTTTTCCGTGGACAAAAAGATCTCCGCGGGCCGGATGAGAGGACATCGCGGGCCGTAGTTTGGAGACCCCTGCATTAAACCATAAGTTAATGTTTGTATGCATTTATTCTTAATGCAATTAATGGGTTTCTATTGTCTCGTTTGATTAGATAATAGGGATTAGACAAACACAAAATAGTAACATTTATATTGGTTGTCTTACTTGAATGTTTAAGTTGGCAGTTCTTAGCAAGCAATTTTACTAACCTCGGAAATTACTTCTTTATACATAATAAACAATTTTTTTGTTTTTAAAATCATCAAAATAAAAAGCTTTTAAATACATTGAAAATAAGAAAATAAAACTGTTTGCTTAATAATATCTTGTTATCTACCCTTTTTTTCCGTAATCGTTTCAGTAATTTTAATTACTAATGTATCATGTAATTAAATTTTAAAATAGATATTCTTGGATTGTCATCGAAGACGAATGCAACTGGAAAATTTAAACGTTGCATTAGAAGATTATTTGCTAGAGCATATGCCGAGGTCACAGAAATAAGTGAACTCTACTTCACTTGCCCCATAGACCGTCAGGTTAGAAAGTGAAACTTTACTTTATAGTTGTAGCAATGTTATTATAATAAGTAAATTTTTTATTTATCTAGATGGAGGCATCCGGCTGTGGTCAGCTATGGAGAGGGGTAGACGCGACCATGTGACATGTAGCCCTAAACAATACACTATGTCAGAGTTCCCCCCCCCCCCCCACGGAGAAAAAAGTGTGGAAGAAACACTGCACTCTGTGATGCCCCAACGACCACAATAATGGTTGGTGGATGATTTAAATTTTAAAAATATTTTTAACAGTGCCCCAAATCCCTCCTCCGGGAGAAAAATGTAGGAAAGAAACTAGATCGAAAACTGGTAAAATTCATAATTTTTAAAACACTTCTAATTTGGAATCACTTCTCATCCCAGGCTAATGACCCCCAGGCTAGATATCTTTAATTTTTTTAAACTGATTAAATCTCTAATTTTAAATTATTTTACATGTCTTTATGTTGTGTGCATTTGGCGAGAAGGTTTACCAGCCCATTATCTATACTAACTTGGGAAAAGCTATACACAACTTGGGAAAGATATCTCATAGTGTGACGCTGTAGAAATTACACAGGTCTATAAGACCAAGCCCAGTACACCATGTTGTAAATTATTGTCCTTGTGTTATCGCTGGCTCATGGCATATTGGAAACACACGGCTTCGTCATTTCCTCTAATCAGTATTCGAGTTACAGAACATGGTTGACAAAATTTAGTTATCTGTTTTTGTTTTGTTTCACCATGGTTAGTTTGGAGTTGAGTTTAATTCTACTTTTTAGAGTATGGTTGGTAGCATCACAGGTTGCGAATGGTAAGGAAAAATATAGGCCCTTTTTATGGGAAATCATTTATTGCTATCAAAAACAATGTTATAAAACAATGTGTTTAAGAAGTATTTGTTTCCATTATGGTTTTTTTTTTAATTCCTTTTATTTAAAAGTAAAAACTACAAGTTTTTAAAATAGTTACGTTTGAATTTAATGTGTGAAATTTTACAAATTTAAAGAAAAAAAAAACCCGATTGATAAAGCAAATATACGCTACATTTTATTAAACAAACAATACAAAATTGATATAATAACATCACAATTTTTCAATAATTGAATAATGTCATCGGTGCATAAAATATGAATTTATTTTGTCATGAAATATTTCGACCATCAAATATTTTGTCTGACCTTTTTTTTCTGGGATATTTTGATATAAACCAAACTTCACAAAACATAATTACAGTTTTACTTTGTGTCGAACATTCTGAAATATACTCTATGGAGCAGCTTATAAAAACTAACAGCAGAGTAATACATTTAAAATAATTTTATCGCTGAGTTTTGGCAGAATTTAAATGTTAAAAACCAGTAACTAACGCACTCTTGTGTATTAAGATTACAATCAGATTCAAGAATCTCATTTTAAAAATTAGTTAATAGGGTCTATGTTGGTAAGCAATTGAAAATGTAAAATTTATTCAACGAAAGCAATTTTTATTTATTTTTATCCATTACTGTTTTGTATTTAAATATATTGACATACATTCTCTTACTTTCTCTATCTAAGAATGAAGTGCATTTGTAAAAGATCATTTAAGCCTATTACCAACTTCGACGCTAAGAAATATTTGGACTACTATCCATGATATTCCATAGTGTGGGTTGGCAGAGGAAAAAATACATTCTACAGTCTCGCAAAAGCAATAATAGATAATAATCAATAGGCCTACCATGTTTCTAGTTTCAAAACTTCCGTTTTCGTAGAGCAAGCGGACCCCATTAAAATTTTATAACAGAAAATGTTGAAGTGGTTTAAAATATCTATCTACATTTTCTAAAGTATGATTTAAATTCTTAAGTATGTTCAAATTTTACAAATTGATCAAATAGATGTGTTTGTAATTCAATATAAATACTAAATTTGGTGCAGGAAAGTTAGAAAGACTTGGCAAAACATCTTAAATTCATCAAACTGTTTTATTTTATTTTTGTTTATTTTTTTGCTTTTATTTTTAAATAAAGAATGTCCAATCGGATGGGTAGAATACGCCGGAAGCAGATGTTTCAACTTTCACTTTTACCCGCCTAGAAACTATATCGAGGCTACAGTGGGTTGCCAGGTAAAAAAAAAGCCAAATTACTTTTCGTAAAACCAAACAAAACTCTTCTTGTTAACAACAAAATGTGTTTATTATAATGTCATCGCCACATTTATTTTTCGCAAATAACCATCTAATTTTAGTCACCACAAGACAGTCATTAATTGTTTTGTATCTTGCCCTGACTACCATCTAGGTTGATGGCGCATACGTCCTGAGCGTCAACACACGTGAGGAATTTGACTTTATTTCTGATTGGTTGACGAAGAATGACCAGAACAGGCGAGTTTACAATAAGAGTCACAAATTAGCGCGTATTTGATTCATTCATCTTTAGTCAGGGATGTTGCCAGTATTGTCAATTTCCATTGACATGTTTTACTAGTCAGTCATGTTTAAGTGATATAAGAAAGTAAACAGTTGTTAATAGATACAACCCAATTTGATACCGCCTAACACACATTTAATGGTGAGGTGATTCAAGCGTTTGTGGGTGCTGAAAGGGTAAATCTATTTGAGGTAGCATTTTCTTTTTATTGTATAATGACAAGAATGATGAACACAATTTTCTTTTTATTTTAATTATGCTACGGATAGGGATTGTGTATTTAGGTGTAATAAAACTCTGATGTTCTGGGGGTCAGGTCTGGTTTTTCTCATGTGCACACATTCTTATATAAACGAATATTATGACTAAATGTAGATTCTACATACCTACAGTATGTCATTTAAAGGATCCGTGTTATCGTTGGAAAATAGACAAAAGCAATTAAGGCAATAAAACTAACGAAAGTGTGCTGTTCGTGATACAGTGCAGTGTTTCTTTCAGACTTTTTTTTCTCTCTCTCTCTCCCCCCCCCCCTTACAAAGAGATGCCTGGAAGAATATCTGATAACCTGTACCATCTAATAAGTTAGTTGTTTTTCTTCTTAGGAAAAACCAATGGTGGACGAGCGGAGTGGGCAGGGGAGATAACATGAGGTGGGAAGGGGATGGAACTCGTGTGTTGTCTACTCCGGACTACTGGCATTTTGAAGGAGACTATAATTCAATTGAGAAGGGCAATAATCTTGTTTACAGCTACTCAAGTATGTGGCATGTACTTTACTGTCTTCGTTATTTTTTTTCTAATAATAAAAACAAATGAGATCTTTCTTGTTCATTAGCCTATCATTCTTGTCGATATTTCAAGTATTGATACTGGTATAGTATATTTTTAAATTATTTAGCAATTATAGTTATAATGCAAACATGAAAACAAAATTTTAAATACCTTCAAAATTTAAACAGCCTTGAAATTATATTTGCAAATATCTACTGTAATAAATTGAATTACTTTCTGAAGTGAAAGAAAATGTGATTGATATTGCTTGTATTTGATACACTCCAGCAATATCAAGCCAGTTTAAATGGGACAGGACCAAACAAACAGAACAGCTCTCCTATGTCTGTGAGATAAGTCTCGATGAGGCCTATAGAATCGTTCAACAAGACAGAGATCACAGTACGTTATCTGTTATTACATTCTACAATTATTTACAAGCTTCTAATCAGTTGTTAGCTAAATTATTGATATATATATATATATATATATATATATATATATATATATATATATATATATATATATATATATATATATATATATATATATATATGAATATATATATATATATATATATATATGAATATATATATATATATATATATATATATATATATATATGAATATATATATATTTAAATATATATATGAATATATATATATAAATATATATATATATATATATATATATATATATATATATATATATATATATATATATATATATATATATATATATATATATATATGGCTACAAAATACAAATTAGTAACTAACTGAAAGTGTTCATTTGTCAGTCACTATCAGTTATATTTTTGTAATATTAAAAGCATTTTAATGAGAGGAAGTTATGTATCCCATTGTAAGTAATTTATATCTTGGTTTGAAACAATCTCTCTCAAATTATAAGGGATTTTTTCTTATAAATGATATATCTACTCTTAAATTACAAGTTACCAAAAATAATGAATTGTGTTTAAAAATGTGCAGCTAGATATTTCAGTTTTAAATTTTGTGTTGCAGTGTTTGGCACCAATGTAACCAACCCTAATGATGTGATGTATGGACCAAAAATTATTGTACAGCCTCAGACTATTGTAGTGGTGGGAGACATCAGTGAGGTGCATGTGGAATGTGTGGCTGTGAGGTATGGATAGTGTTACATGTAGGCCTATGAGAGACTATGATTCATGGTCAGTGTCATAATAGTGTGTGGAAGTTAGGTGTGTTCAGTGTCATAATAGTGTGTGGATTTTATATGTGTTTAGTGTCATAATAATGTGTGGATATTAGGTGTGTTCAGTGTCATAATAGTGTGTGGATGTTAGGTGTGTTTAGTGTCATAATAGTGTGTGGCTGTTAGGTGTGTTTAGTGTCATAATAGTGTGTGGATGTTAGGTGTCTTCAGTGTCATAATAGTGTGTGAATGTTAGGTGTGCTCAGTGTCATAATAGTGTGTGGATGTTAGGTGTGTTCAGTGTCATAATAGTTTGTAGCTATGAGGTATGGACAGTGTTACATGAATGTGTGGCTATGAGGTGTTGTCAGTATCATAATAGTGTGTGGCTGTGAGGCATTGTCAGTGTTAGGCAAAGTTTTAAATGTGAAAACTATATTGATATAACTTATTTTAATATTGACCAACATTATAAAAGATGTTTAAATTTAAAAAATTGTATGTCTAAACATTAGTTTACAGGCATTCATTATATTAAAATGTTTATGTAATTGACCCCTAAATTGACCCCTAAATATATATTTTAAATTAGTTCTTCATAAAATGTTTATTATTTAAACTTCATTTAACCATAATTGAGTTCCAATACTGCTTATAAACAAAGTGAATATAATTCTTATCAGTAACCCCCAACCAAAATATGAATGGTACAAGAAATCAAGGACAGGGGAGCTAACTCTGGTGGAGACCAACAGCTACTACACCATAACTAATGGTAAACTGCTCATCTCCAGGCCAGTAGGAAACAGGGATGAGGGTGTCTACCAGTGTATGGCGATAAACATCCTCGGATCAGTTATTTCTAATCCTGTTGAAATTAATTTTGGATGTAAGAGTTGCTTTTTTTTAAATTTCAGTCTGTGTTGAGACATTGATCTGGAAGAGAAGCTGCATGCAGATATTGAATAAATAACTAGTTTTTAACCTAAAACAAAACAAAATGTAGCAGTGATAAAACCTTTAGTTTTTAAACTTAAATTAACATTGAATTACTTATATTTTTAATTATACGTTTCTAAGCATAGAAAAGAGTATCAAAACTTCATTTAAATGTACAGGAATTTCCAATGATCCTCTGGAAATGGCTTCATTATTAAAAAGAAAGATAACCTTTATTAAAAATAATCTAAATAGTATTATTGACAAAATAATAACTTACACTTAGATTTGCAAGAGATACTCTAGAATTGCATCATTATTAGAAAGCAAAATTGCCCCTTATTCAAAATTTAAATTTTATAATTGAAAAAACATTTTCCAATGTTCTGCTTAAATTTGCATCATTATTTTAAAAAAAGAAAATTTCCCACATTAAAAATAATTCACATTTTTTAATTGAAGAAATAATTGAAAAAATAATTTTTCCATGATCTTATAGAATATGCTTTATTTTTTTCTAAATTGACGATTTTAAAATTATTTTAAAAAAAAACAACCTATCCTCAGATTTACAAGAATTTCTAATGATCCTATAGTATATTTAAAATTTAAAAAAAAACAACCTATCTTCAGATTTGCAAGAATTTTCCAATGATCCGCCTGGTTCTGTGACAGCTCTTATGTACAAGGGTACGGTCTTAAGCTGCAAGCCACCCCTATACAATCCAGGTACACCAAGCTTACAATTTAATGTACTCTGCTAATTTTTGTTGTAATTTCTTGTTTCTTAATGATGGCAACCTTAAACCTGTTTCAGAATATCAGTTCATTCAACTTAAAAAAAAAATTTCAAACTATGAACATTTTACATATATGTTAAAAACAATAGTTTTTAATAAATGTAGAAAATAAAGTAAAATAAATTACCATTTTCATATGCCAAGTTCACAGAAACAAGTGAACTCTACTTTACTTGCACTATAGACCGTCAGGTTTGAAAGGGAACTTTTACTTTACTTTTAAATTACCCGTTTAAAGAAAGTATTTTCGGCCTTTAACAGCAATACACATCAGATGGTACAAGGAAGATGGCGGCCCCAACTTCCTGAGAACTGACCTTCACCCTCATCAATTTGTTTCTCTCAACGGCAAAGCTTATTTATCTGAAACTTCAAATTCAGATGCAGGTTACTATCTTTAATATTAGCCTAATATTTGTATACAAATAAAATAGCTGAAAATAATATTTTGTTATAATTCAATACAGTGTAAGACCATAAAAAAATAAAAAAATACTTACTTAAATCATATACCACTTGTTGCAGCAGTGATTTGTTTTTAATTGTGAAAGGGGTATTAGATTAAACATTTACAATTGATTATAATTATAAAAATTAAGATTATTTCAAAAAGAATGTCTATATACATCACTTCTTTACTGCACTTAAATATTTACCTAGGCTATTGTCATTTTTTTCTCATTAGTAGGCCTATTTAGATAATTAATGGGAATTTTTTTTTCCATTTAGAAATGTCTATATTATTGATGCTTTGATTTCTAAAGGCTATTGTTACTGTTGATTCCATTTAGGTTTTTATCACTGTTTTGTGGCACTGGTGGCTCCAGTGGGTCAGGAAATGGCTTCAGAACAGTGGCAGAGCAGGACAAGTCTGGGAATCAAATTGGTCATTACAGGCGATTGTATGCTATTTGTTTTCTTCTCTTTAAATGAATGGAAAAAAAAAACCTGAATTAATTAATAGTGTCATAAATACTATCATAGGATTTGTTAAGGATTTATTTTAACATTCTGTTTATGATGATAATTGTTAATGGTAAAAAAAATAATTTCTTAAAATTGTTTTTTTATCATGGGCTATAGGCCTATTGATTTAATACAAGTGAATACTTAACACATTAATACTTGAATGTATATTAAAATCGTAAACATGCATATGTTTTGAAAACGGCCTTTACAAAAAAATATTTTCTGAATTAAGCTCCAAGTAATTATGGTCCAGAAATTCACAATGATTTTCCTGCTGTTTTTCCTGTTCCATCCCTCAGAGGCAATCTTCTTACAATAGAATGTTTTGCTTATGGAAAGTAAGGAAAAAAAATTTGTATGAGAAAATACATGTAAATAAAAATAACAAGGAATTTAACTAATTATTTCAATTTATCTAGCCACTTGAGCCACATTAATTATATTTTTTGTATTTTTAAAAAAATAAAAATTTATTCAAAACTGACTGTAAAACCAAGTAGGCCTAGTTTTTATAAATACTAATCAATAGTTAATTAGTTATTCATCTCATGATATCCTTCACATTTATTTACTTAATTTTTATATCAAAGATGTCAATTTAATTTTTAAATATACCTTACAGATTTTTCCATTATTATCAACAAAAATAAATAATCATTTTCCCCTCTAACTTCCTACCCAAATGCAAGGTAATTTTGCTCTCAATTACTTTAAAAAGATTACCACTTCACTACTCCTGGAAGAAAGACAATGGCCCATTACCCAACAAGGCAGAGTTATCTGAACATGGGCGTGTCATAACTTTACCTAATGCCCAACTAGAGGATGCTGGGAATTACACATGTAGGGTAGAGAGGGGCAGCAGTGGTATGGCTGAGAAGTCCATGAACTTGGTCATACAAGGTACAAGATTTTTGTAGGCTCTATGTATAAGACACTGATTTTTTAAAAAGAAACTAGTTGGTCTTTTGTTTTCTATAGACTTCACCCAGAACAAAATAATACTACTAATACTTTTACTAAGCCAGTTTGTTAAAATTATTTAGAAATATCTTCATATTTTGCTTTCTAACATAATTATTTTAATATGTCTCTTCTAGCAAAGCCATTCTTCATCTTCCCACTGAAGGACCAGCACATAGACGTCAACAGTCCCTTAACTTGGAGATGTGAGGCCATTGGAGTACCAGCACCAGTGTATACTTGGTACAAAAATGGGAAAATTATTGGTAACATTGAAGGAGAAACTGAAGTAAGTGGTAATTAGATGATACATCTACATATATAATTCTCTTCTTGGAGATGTTAGAAAACTAGCTGTAATTTGTGCGCCTAGCAGTCCCCTCTCTTCCTCTCTAGGCATATTGCAACCTCCCCCACCCCCACATGGTCTGGTGAGCTGTGGTTCACACTAAATGTTTACAATTGTACAGCCGGGTTTAGTGACGGCTATTAGGGGCAGATAATTTAGTTTGAAACTTAGGGGAGGTAACTAAGAGGAGGCTACTTTGCTTTCACGGGGGTGGGGGGTGTATGGTTGGGGTTGGGGGAAAGGAGGGTGGGGGGGGTATCGTCCTTAACGACATACTGATAGTGTTTTAAAGCAAATATTTTCAGTGGCAGCGTTGATACTGTCGAATTCACAAATTATGAATGACCGAAAAGTAGAAAATAAAACAATTAAATATCGGCGTATGAAACGCCGCGGGTCGGCTCGTTCTAAATATTCTCTATTCTATGAAACCGAGGTTAGCAGTAGTTGAATGATAAATTCTAAATATTCTCTGTTCTATGAAACTGAAATAAACAAGTTTCTGATAGTTATATGTAGCATACTAATGGGGCTATTTCCATTTATCGTTCAAAATTTGAAGTTCTAGGATTTTAGTTTTATTTTTCAATATTCTGCAATAAAGGAAATCAATTTGTTTGGAAGGCTTCCATAAAGAATTGAAAAGAACTTTTTCAAACCCTGATTAAGTCTTTTTTATAAATAAAATAAATTCCCACTATTAGAATTTTTATAGTATTCACAAACTATGATTTTTTCATGTTACCTTGGTTTCTATGAAATTCAGTTGTTCAAACAACACTATCGCCATTACTTTTATATTCCTCTATGAAATAAAGAGGTAAATCTTATTAATACATATATGTAAATGACATACTTGATAAAAATTTAGCTTTGCTGAGTAATGGTGGAATATAATTAAACAATCGGTAAAATAAAACTATATTTTTAAAGCATCTGAATTAAAATCATCTGTTTATTTTACCATGTTTAAAACTAAAATGAATATCTTAGGTTCGAACAAACATACTGACTATTCACAACGCGGACCCCATCAAACACAATGGGATGTACCAGTGTGAGGCTAAAAATACACACGGCTCAACATTTAGTTCAGCTCAGATTAGGGTGCTTGGTAAGAAATAGGCCTAGACTTTAAAATGTATGTATTCTAAACAGAAATGTACTGCGAAGGGTTCAGGGTTTAAATGCATATTGTAAAGATCAGACTCTCCTACATAATTATATTGGACTTATACTTACTCCAATGGCAGGGCAGCCTTTCTATAGCCATTTACCATATCCCCACTCCCCATTATTTGTAACTATGCTGCATGTGCCTTCATTAACGCTAAATATTTATTTATTTTTATACAAAATAAAGAAAAAATTATAAGAAATATGTAAGTCAAATTTAGTGTAAACTATTTGTTTGTCAAAACTTTTAGAAGATTTATTACATATGCTTTGTTGAAAATCCTAAATGTTTATTCATGAGTTATTAAAATGAATTAAAGTTTGCTAAATAATAGACCCACAATGAAAGTAATTTTCTGTCTAGATATTTAAAATAATACTTAGAGTTTACTTAAATAGAAATACCATTAATCAGCGTTCAAGCCATCCTTTGAAAGACGACCTTTGAACCCATCTCAGATGGCAACAGAGGGTGGGTCAGTAACAATACGCTGCCAACCAGAGGCAGCACCGCAACCTACACTGTCCTGGATGAAGGACGGAGTCCCACTCTCATTGTCTGAAGGTCAGCTACACATCAAAACTAATGATCTTATAAATAAAAAAAATTTAAATGCTTACATAAAAATGTTAGTACCTACATGGCTAATTAAAATTATTTTTTTTGTTTTAAATTAATTCATTAATTGACATAAACATAACATATATAAAGTTCACAAGGATTTAAAAAGAAAATATGCCTACTTTATTGAACTATCTCAATTAGGCCTACATTATTAACATATGTCAGTTAGGCTATGTTGTTCCACATTCCATTTGAATTGATATTTTAATGTTAAGCTGAACTAATTAATTGATAATACTTTAATATATTGCTCCTTAATATATTTGTCCTTGATTGTAATGTTGGAAGAAAATGTGGCATATAAATATTATTAAGTTACTTCTCAAACTTTAAAATTGATAAACTGTGAGTCGAACTAACTAAATATTATAGTTCATGAACATTACTTATCAAGTTGCTTCTCACCTTTTCTAAATTAATAAACTTTTTGGCTTGTTTATTGAAAACATTTTTGGCCACCACCTAACAGATACAGATGCCAAACTGGTACAGCTACCAAATGGCAACTTGCAAATAAATGAGTTACAGAAAAGTGATGAGGGCATTTACCAATGTACAGCTACTAATTACTTGGGATCAGCTAGCAGCTCTGGAAAACTTAGGATTGTGTGTAAGACCAAGTTATATTTACAAGCACAAATGCATTTTTTATTTGTTTATAAAAAAATTAGAATATTTATTTTTAATTATAGAGTATTATTTTATGTAGGCCTACTACTACTAAGTTCAGATTTTTTCAAAGAGTGAACAAAGTATATATTATATTTTACCAAAAATAGTTTCATTTACTCTCTAAAGTCTAATTTCTAAAAGAAAAAAAGAAAATGTTTTGGTTTTAAATTCACTCAAAATGCATTAACTACTTTTACATAGGATTTGAACATAAGTCATTTAATTATCATGTAAAGTTTCTGATATTTTGTACCCAAGCTAAGACAACAATGATAGTGACCCCTATCAGCACAAGAGTAGATGTGAACTCAACAGCTTTTCTAGGCTGTCAAGCATCGTATGACAGTAAACAAAAGGACCTTGTCTATGTCTGGGACATATTTGGGAGACAGATTAATTATGCCATTGAGCCACATTACATGCAGGTGAGTTCTGTCAAACTAAATGAGATTAATACATAAATACAGGTGTGCTTAGTAAAGGTAACCTTCCAAACCAGGTGGTCCATAACCTAGAGTTCACCTGTTTCTGTGACCTCAACATAAGACTTTACTTAGTTAACCTGCATCAAATACTCTTACATTATGGATGGATTCAGGAACATCTTATGAGCTTAACACTAGACTATTGAGTTAGCAGTCATGTATTTACCATCCGAACACATCGTTCAACATGTGGGTACATTCAACTTTGGTCCAGGAGTGTCAACCAACACTTCCCTTCCTGATGTTGAAAATTATATATACATAAACATACTGGATATATATATACATATATATTATATATACATATATATATACATATATATACATATTTATATATATATATGTATGTATATATATATATATATATATATATATATATATATATATATTACTCAGCTATTGCTTTTGAACAAAATTTATAATCTTGTAAATATGTACCTATCTGAATGCCATAGGGAGATAGAGGGTCTGTACCTGGTCTTTACATCACTAATGCTCAAGTGTATCACACTGGGGAGTACGGATGTACAGCTGTCTCAGTTGATGATTCCATCCGTGTTACAGCCACACTAACTGTATATGGTAAACTGGAATATACGTAAACTAAAATATATTCAACAACATAAGGCAATGTAAGATAAATGCTATTTAACAACACAGTTCAATGCAAGATAAATGCCATTCCATTCCTCATGTAAATATAGATGTATACATTACTAAGTTTAAATTCATCAAAATAATTAAATAACATTTTTTTTGCATTTATAATCTTTCATTTTTTCCTTCCTAAAATTATTTCTCATTAGCTGATGGTAACCAACCATTTTAATCATATGTGAAGAACAAATGTGAACAATGAATTAAAATTGTGTCTATCATCCATGTTTTGAAGGTCCACCTGGAGAGTCTGGTGGAGTAATTGCCGCCATCAGTGGCAGGAATGCCACTGTCAAGTGGGTGATTGGTCCAAACAACAATGCAGACATCACAAAATTTCACATTGAGTTCAGTACAAATTTTAACCACACTTGGAGGGTAATAAAGAATGGTGAGTCTTTGAAATTTTCATCAAGGTAAAATTTTAGTACGGTATTTAATTCAACAGTAGTTAAGTTGTTGAAGATATTTTTTATTATAATCTTTAATCAGATGTAAAATAAGAAAACAAGTTAGTATTTATATTAGTTCAACCAGAAATGTTAAAATATTTTTTTTTACTTTTGTATTATGGATCTTTAATTAGTATGATTTAAATTTGAACAAAAAAAAATTTAGCATTTTTAGCATTTTGTATTAAAAATATTAATAATTTTTTTTTTTAACTTGCTAAATATTTTTAAATAACTCCTTAGATTTACCATTTAGGCCTAGGCCTATATTAAAATATTTATAATTAATTTTTTCTCTTAATTTCAACTTATTCAAAAACTCGTTGTATTTACCATCTAGGCCTGTATTGAATGTTTAATTTATATTTGTTTGCTGCAGACATTACCTTAGTCGAGGCTATTGACCACAACAGAGTAGGCAGGTGCTTGTATGATGTCCATGACCTTAAGCCAGGGTCATCCTACAGGTTCAGAGTGGTTGCTTACAACAGATATGGCAGAGGTCCACCATCTTTACCATCATGTATGTTGTCATTATCCTGCTTTATATTAGTATCTTAGGAAATTATATAAATTATATTATTTTAGTAGACTATATTCATATCAAATGAAATTAATTTAAGACTAAACTAGAATCATAAGAAAATATTTTAAGGATCATATTTTAATAAAGCAGATTAAAGTAGCTGTTCTAAAGTTCATTAAAATTTTAGAAAACATTAAACTTTAATAAATTAAAGTGCAAATATTGTCTGTTCATTTATACCTTTAAACATCTGTTTTGCAATATCTTAAAGATGTAACTTAATGATCGGGCCCAATTTTTGTATTGTTTGAAACTTCCAGCCTACTATAAAATACCTGATGCAGCACCTGCTGTCCCTGTAAATAAGATCAGTGAGAGTTGGGGGCCTGTTGGTACTTTGGCTATAGAATGGGAGGTAATCATTTGCAATAATGGTGTTTAGTTGTCATAATGATTGGGTATTAAAAGTATTAAGATAACTATTTCTATGGGAATAGTCTACATAGCTTATTTAAACTATTAACATGAATACAAATAAAAAGATATACAATATATTGCATATAACCAAAGTTAAGGAACCAAAGTCTGAGTTTTTTATATTTAACTTAAATATATTATATTTAGCTTAAATATTTATAGCACTAGTTTGAATTCATTTTACAAAATCAAATGCAGATTTAGTCTTTAAATACAATAGAGAAATAAACTTCAAATATTATTTGAAATTTATAAATGAAAAGGAATTTTTTAAATGATTTACAATGTTTAAAAATATACAACAAATCAAATATTGGTCCATAGTTGTTGTTACATTTCACTTTGACGATCGATAGTTTTTAATCACTCAATAATTTGCTTTTTACTTAAAAATCAATGTAAAATTTCTTACATCTACAGCCTTTGAGTGAGGAGGACCTGACAGGAGAAAATGTTGGCTATACAGTTTACTATAGGAAAAAAGCGAATACAGATACAAAATGGAGTGTGGTAAGAAAGTTATATAATCTTTGTATACCATCTTATTAGTGAACTTAAAAAAAGTATGTGCCCATTCATTGTCATTATGCAGATAATTTTTTTAAATGTGAGGTGAATTTAATATAATAATTTTTGTATGATATTAAGTTTGGTATTTGATGTGAGTATTATAGATATACAAGTAGAAGTGACTAAAATGAGGGTTTAAGATAATGTGTATCTATTTTATATATCATGTAATTCTTTCTCTAGTTCAACAATACAATGGTTTGTTAAACAGTTGTTGTTTGTTTTTTTTTGTCGATAGGAAGATGTTCCTGGTAGAGAGACGAAATTCTCTGCATTGATTGGTGCAGAAAATTATTATTTAGAATATGAAATAAAAATTGGAGCTTTCAACAGTATGGGCCGAGGCCCTAACTCTACCGTACAGATCATTATGTCTCAGCCAGACAGTAAGTACTGCATAACATAACTTGATATGTAATGTAATTTCATACGTAATTTAAATCATAAACTAGTATACATTTTTTTTAAATTGCTGAATTGTTGTTTAATCAATAGGTGTGCTTTCAAGAAATAATATTTTTAAATCAATCTTTTAAATTATTATTTACAATACTTAATAGTGGTACCTGAGAAAAATAAATTAATATTTATGCTTTTAACATGTTAGCAAATTTAATATATCTATATGTAGCTAAATATCCTACTGTGTTTATGTTTATAGTCTTAATAAAGTATATTCATAATAGGATTCATAAATACAAAGTATTTTTTATTATTAAAAAACTATTTTAAATTATTTTTTAATAAATGTGAAGAGTGTAGTCATATATAGTTGTATTTATAATGCAATTAATAAACTATGAAAAAATTACTTTTAAAAGAAAGGTTTGAGATTCACATAAACCACTTATAGAAATCAGACTACTAGGACTGCATCACAAAAGAATATTGTTAATATTCATGAATATACTCATTTATTTTTAAATTTCATGTATCTTTTAGTGCCATTAGGAGCAGCAACTAATGTGCATGTTGAATCTTATAATGCAACATGTCTTCGAGTTATTTGGACACCAATTCCTGAAATCAGGGAATATGTTCGAGGAAAAGTAGTTGGATATGGGGTATTTTTACATCGTAAATAGTGAAATCTAGTTTAATGCAATTTAAAAATGAAAATATTTTTTTAATCTTACAAAAATTTGAATGAATTACATTGAAAAACATATATTTCTATTTTTAAAATAATAGAGAGAAAGAAAGTGATTTATTAGTGTTATTTTAATTAATGAAAAGCAAAGCAACTGTTATAAAATAAAAGCTAATAATTGAAAAACTTATTTAAAACTAAGTCAGAGGATGTTAAGCCCACACAAAAATGTATGAATATATTTGTTCAGATTAAAGTATTGTTAGATGTAAAGCTGTCAATTTAATCCCAGATTAACTACTGGATACCAGGCAAAGACATGGAGTCTTCCAACATGTACTGTGATGACCAGGAAAATGGTGACTGTGGGTCAGTTCTGCTGGTTGGCCTTGACCCATTTTCATACTACTGGGTCAATGTCCAGGTTTTTACTTCAGCTGGCATGGGGACATTGAGTGAAGATGACTACGGTCAGACATTCCATTCTCGTGAGTAGCCCTAGTCTATCTACTTAATGTTGTTTTGCTCACAATGTAAGAACTTGTAGACATAGCATTTGGCCCTGTCTCAAAATATTTTATATTTAAATGTTATGTTATTTAGATGTAATGTTTTCAACAAGAAATTAAAAGCCTATTACTAGCATAATTGTTGTGTGTATTAGACCAAAACAAATTAACTTTTATAATATTATGGTTTCAGCTCCTAAACTGTACCCTGAGTATGTCCACATAAGATCCCACACTGGTAATGCTGTGTTTGTTACATGGAAGGGGGTTTCATCACAGGCTGATGAAGAGCCAATCATCGGATACAAGGTCAGCTAATAATAGATTTTAATGGCTGTACTATGTCAATAGTCTTTGAATAATTATAAGTGCAGAAGTTATGCTATATTAAAAATTTTCATCTTAAAGTTACAAAATTTTAATATGAATATCATCTCTATACTTATCATAACAGAGATATTTATTTGCTCTCCATTTTTTAACTATGACCTAATATTTGATAACTTGTACAGTACAATAAATTTAATTCACATAATTTTATTATTGAGTATTTTGCTGATCTCAAATATTTCATAAATTTACTACACCATCTGTAATCTTTTATTTCTTACTTAATAATCAGATAAAAAAAATTTCCTTTTTTTAAGGTTCTACCATTCTGTGATAACTTACAAAAAAATAAAACTGTCAAATCAATTAAATTGTTAGTATTAATTAAAGATTTGAACCTTGCCTTCAGCTTAATATTAAGAGAAGAACCTATATTGCCTAGTTCTATGCAGAAGATGTTTTATTAGATTTTATATTTTCAGCTGCGATGGTGGCCCTCCACAGAAAACATCCGTAGTGCAAACATTACAGTCATTGGTGAACGGCGCACCTTTGGTCCCATCCATGGAGTAAGTCGAGGAATTGTCTACTCACTTAGAGTGATGGGTTACAGTCTTGGGGGGGATGGTGTCAACAGTCCTACTGTTTATTTTACACTTGGTAAGTTTTTTACTCAACTTAAAATTCTAAAATTTAACATTTAAAAACGGTTTTCTGACACATTTCAAAGAAATTCAAATTTTGTTTAAAATCAATTTACTGTACAATTACTTTAAAAAAGTCTTTTAATTAATTTTTTCTTTTATAAATATTGAAGATTAATATTCCATTGAAAGGGAGAATAAACATAAATATTTAAATCTTAATCCATTATGTAATAAATTGTTATACAATGGAGGAAAATTAACGTTTGGGTTAATATCAATTTGACATACAAAGTAACACTTGCCGTAATATTGATTACCGCAGTTCAATTAGTGTGCTATTACAGTTTTCTATTTTGAAATATCTTCACAACAAAAAGTAAATTAAGACAAAAAAAATAATATCTGTGTCAAGTTAAACATAGTTATTAAACACACATTACTGCATCTATCAATGCATAGTTAAATTATAATTTATCTTTCAATTTTCTGCTAATTAATTACATATCAAAACATGTTGGTGTTATAAACTAATTGCTATAGAAGTTGGTATAAGAGACGTCATCTATTTTTTTCACATTTCTTTCTTCACAGAGGGTCAAGTTATTTATAACCCAGAAACAACTGAAATCTTGAACTTTTCAAACATTAAAAAAGGGAATACATTTTTAATTTTTATAATTATAGCTCTCTATAAATACTGTTTTGGATTGTAAATAAATTAAATTTCTTTGAAAATCCTGTAAATATTTCAAGCTTTAATTATGTGTAAATGTTTTAACCCTCCACAAACTAACATACAAAATTGGTTTATCATCTAAACTATTTGTTATTGTATTATACATGTCTATTTTCCACTGGTCAAAATAGTACTGCTCATAATGTCCTGTTTAACACATAATTATTATTGTGCTGAAGTGATTAATATATAAGTTTATATATATATATATATATATATATATATATATATATATATATATATATATATATATATATATATATATATATATATATATATATATATATATATAAAGTGCCTAATATCCTAATTCACCTGAATGATAATGGTGCTTTTTGATTTGTAACTAAGATGGCATTTATAATGTTTTTTTAGCATTAGGCTTATCTTTATTTTATTTTTTATAACTGTAAAATGTTGTACTTTAAATTTTAATAATAAAATTCTGTTTTGTTCTCGGACTTTTCTTTGAATTTCTAGTTTACAAGCTTTTATTTAGTTTGTAGCGTCTGTTTGTTTGTGGCAAATCTTGTACCTCAATTTTGACCCACTTCTAATGTAGCGATTTCGTTCAAACTTTCTAGATACGTTCCACGTAGATGACAACACTAAGCTATTATATCTTTTTATTTAATTAGATGTTTAATTAGTCATAAAAAATATAATAAAAGGGTTTCGAAAATAAGGGGAGATTTTTAAAAATCTATCACTCGATAGATTACTATATTCAATAACAGAAGGGGACGCTATAAACCAACCAGTATATAAAGTTGTCTATATCAAAGTGGTTTTGATATAGACAACTTTATATATATATATATATATATAAATATATATATATATATATATATATATATATATATATATATATATATATAAATATATATATATATATATATATATATATATATATATATATATATAAAGTATATATATATACATGTATGTATATATATATATATATAGTATATATATATATATATATATATATAGGTCTCCTGATTATTTCAGATTGTTAGTGATTTTCTTCGACCTGGAAGTAGTACTTTATGCAATTTCCGATTTTTCAAAAAAATATCTTGTCTACTGTACCGATTTCTTACAATTTTTTTCACTAATGTCAAAACACGATGACAAACATAAAATCTGAATTAAATTATATGTTTAATTTACCTTTAAAAAACTAATCAAATTAGGATTTCCAATAGATGTCACACAAATTTCATAAAACTGATAGCCAAGAAAATACGCTTTTGCGTCGGTGAAACGTATTTTAGAGTAGTTTCAACTACTGTAACTCATTAACTACATTTCTCGTCAAAATAGAATTGATTTCTAACACCTCCTCATTCCTCGAGGAATGAGGAGGTGTTATGAATCACTTTTAACAAATCTTCCTGTCTCATATAGAGACATGTTACAACTTACCTATACAAAGGTAGCATAATCATAACTAAACTATATTTTATCATATAATTTTTTTTTGTGAAGCTATCATCTATTCTACAAAAACGGGCGTGTAAAAAAATAAAACAGCAACATACGTTTTTTCAGTGCAGTCAGCCAACGAGAAATACTGTCTAGGTTACTTGACCTTGTATCTTTAATAATCTGTTTCTCAGTTCTCTTCGCATAGCTTTTGAGTAGCATGGCCCATATTTATTATACATTGGAAAAGCATTAAATCAACTTCGAAAAGATGTCTCATCCTGTTTTCAACTTTTGTTTTTATCTAGATGTGAACAATGTCTATACATTGGGCCTAGATTTCGAGACCTTTGAAATAGGCAAACATTAGAACTTTTACCTACAAACCGAGAATGTTGTTTATTGTTTTGTTTTCTTTAAAATATTGTTTTATGAGTTTATTAAAACTAGTAAGTAACCTTCGTCTGACTCTGATTATCGTTTTGTTTACAAATGTTCACAATTTAAGAACTTAATCATTACTAAAATAATTCATAAAAAACGTTTTAATAACAAGCTTTTATGTAATGATGCACTAAAAAGTAGAAAATAAATTATAGACTACTATTTAAATAACTATAAAGAAAAGCGTGGGTCACTTTAGTATCTATTGGATACCTTTACTAATGTTAAGGAAGACACCCACGCTTTTCTTTATAGTTATTTAAATAGTAGTCTATAATTTATTTTCTACTTTTTAGTGCATCATTACATAAAAGCTTGTTATTAAAACGTTTTTTATGAATTTTTTTTTCAGTACTTTACAAGTTTTATTTACAATAGAGTTACATGACTAAAAACTATTGCGCGCCTACTGAACATCACGTTCAGTAGGCGCGCAATGGTTTTTGAACGCAGCCATTACGTGATGGCGCAGCTAATTCGGTCCAAATTTTAATTAATTCATAAAAAATTAATTAGGCATCCAATTAAGTCAAATTTAGATTCAGATTGCATTGTCTTCATGTCTTGACCCACGTGCCAACTGTGAATCGTATCGGTCAAGTAGAACTGTCCGAATTTTCACTCCTGCGTTTCCATCTAGACAGACAGACTGTCGACAGAATGTCGACAGAGGAAGTGAGTTAAATAAAAGCTTGTAATAATCACGTTATGTTTGTATTTGTGTGTGCTAAATATGCTATTTGTCTGGATATATTTTAGCTAATGTTACAAAATACGTGTATTTTTCAGAGGCGTACGCAGGAGTAGCTAGGGGTTTTTAATACGCAAACCATCTTAACACATTATACGCCTATAAATAGTACCTGGATTTGTTAGTAACTCTTTCAAATCTAACTTTTTGCCTGAACATGTGGATTACAATTGATTAAAATCATTAATGTTTTTTTAAGATTAAATTAAAATATTTAAACTTTAATGACTAATTTTCTAATTAGATTAAAAATGAGATATCCTTGCATTATCATCAAAGAGGAGCGTATATGGAAAGATATGTCGAAATCACTGCATTAGAAGTAGGTTAAAATTGAGGTATAATATTTGCCACAACCCACACAAAATAAACAATAAATCCTAGTGTAAATAAAAGCTTATTATTAGCAAAATACAACCCAAATATTGGGCAAATGTTGAGTAAATCGTATAAGCTTGAATTGAAAGAAAAATGTTTACCGCATACCTGGAGTTCGTTAATTAACTCTTATTGAATTTTATTTTTTTGCATTAGCCTTGATTTTTTTAATTAAAAATATACCTGCTAGACCAATAATTATCCATGAAAAAATGTAGGCTTATAGACCAATGAATGAAGACGTGTTTTAGGATTAATTTTTAACAAATCTTCCTGTCTCTTTGATAAAAGAAAACTTACAACTTACCTATACAAAGGTAACACAATCATAACTAAAACTATATTTTATCTGTTATATTTTTGCGAAGCTTTTCGTCCGTTCTGCGGGTTACAAAAACTGGCTTGTAAAAAAATATGATAACACAAAATGGCCAAAAATTCAGGTAATCTAATTAGAATGTAACAAGCGCGGGCGGCCTATCATAAGTGGGTTGTGTATGGGTCGGTATTGGCTGGTACCGTGTGGTACACCGAGTGAACTTTTGTCTTGATATCAGGTACCAGGCTGTGGGGTGTTCAATTGTTGACTTTGAACCTCCTAAACCCAATACACAAAAAATGTGTATCAGCGCTTATCTCTCATGTGATATACAAGCCTCGTCACAAGCACCGAACGGTACCACCACTTTTCCTTTCAACTTTTTTTTTTTGCATCAAAGTGAGATTTTATTAGCAAAACTTTATTAAATGCAGACACATACAGAGTAGACTTTTTAAATTAAAGTGAATGTAAATTAATTGAAACTTACCATGATGCTGAAAATACAGTGTATTTTTTTTTAATTAATCAAAGTAAAATTAAATTACCGTTTAAACCAAATTAGAGTCTAATGGTTTAATAGGTGCTGAATTATATACAGTATTTTTTTAAAATTTAATTAACAAAAGTGAACTTTTATTTTAACCTAAGCTAATTTAGAGACTAGTGGAGTCTTGATGCGTTAAAAGAATGCATGGGTATTATTATATATTTTGTCTGAGATATTTTGTCTAGGATAATTTGCCCTGTCACCTTGTAATTATAAATATATATATATATGTATGTATGTATATATATATATATATATATATATATATATATATATATATATATATATATATATATATATATATATATATATATATACGTCGTCTCGAAATCGTGTGAGAAAAGTATTTGAGGACAGAAACAAACATCACAAAATACAATGTAATCATTTTATTTTTAATTTATTCAAAATAAATCTAAATTTTCCTTGTCGCATCCCCACCGCTTTTATAACCTAACTAAGTATATAAAAGGAAGCAACGCAGACTAGAATAGAGTTGAGCAGAGTAGATTTGAGTAGAGTGTAGAGTAGAGCAGGGCAGAGTGGAGTAGAGTGCAGTACAGTGGAGTAGGTTAAAGTCAGGTGGGGTGGAATGGAACGGAGTGGTGTGGTGTGGGTAGGATAGGGTAAGGTTAAGGGGACAGGGGCAGGGCAAGGGGGCAAGGGCACGGTTGGGGCAGGACAGACAAGTTAGGGTAGGGTAAGATTGGGTAGGGGTGGGGACAAGGGCAGGGCACACAAGGTAGGGTAGGATTTGGCAGGGTAGGGGTAGGGGCAGGGCAGTCAAGTTAGGGTAGGGTAGGATTGGGTAGGGGTGGGGAAAAGGGCAGGGCACACAGGGTAGGCTGGGATTTGGCAGGGTAGAATGAGAATGCAGGCGAGAGAGTGGAGGAACAGAATAGAAAAAAATCACCCTTCAACATTGCAGAAAATAGTAGAATAGAACACAGTAACGTTCTTTTTGTTAACCCCCCCCCCCAGTTGTTTTCGATTAGGTGCACGAATTTGCTAAGTATTTAGCAGGGAACAGAACAGAGACATACTGTCGTTATTTTTACAATTAACGTGGGACAGTGGCGTCGCTAGGTCGGGTGTCCCCCGGTGCGGCGTCATATGGGGTAAGCAAACATTTCTGTTAAAAAGTGTGGTGAGTTTTTTTCCATTGACGTTTACATTATTTTTTTCATTCTGAACCATCAGTTGTTTTTCCATTTGCTACTGAAGTTACGGACGATCATTTACAATGTTGTTTTCAACACCACTAATTTTTACCAATCTGACTAACTCGACGGGTCCAATGCACAGTAAAATTAAAATGTTAAATAACTTCATCTAACTAAACATAGATGACTCTTCTCAAGAAATAATTATTGTACTTACAGTCAGCGCCGGCGCTACCTATAAGGCGAACTAGGCGGCCGCCTAGGGCGCTATCCATGGGGGGGGGGGGCGCAAAAATGTATAAACGCCTTTATTAAAAAGTACCTAAAAACTAATAACTGTGCATAGCGATCTATTTCGGTGGGGAGCCGGACGTTTTCCCGAACTTGCCCAAATGCGACAAATGCCCGAATGGACACTTGCCCTGTATGGACACTTGCCCGAATGCGACAAACGCCCGAATGGACACTTGCCCGAATGCGACAAACGCCCAAATGGACACTTGCCCGAATGCGACAAATGCCCGAATGTGGACACTTGCAATATATATATATATATATGTGACTAGGGTAGGCCTAGCCACTAGTTACAAATCTGATAACGAACGAGAAGCCGAGACGCAGTATTGCAGTCTGACGCAACACAACAGGTGGCTTATTGGGTCGGGCTGATAACAATCTCAAAGCCAACGCGTGCTATTTTGGGAGACGGTACGAGGAGTGAGACGGCCTGTCAACTTTGATTGATAGGATGCAGATGTTATTCCACGGACTGTATGTTAGAACTACGCAACTAGTGGTCGGAGACATCGAGTACAAGTATCGATTACGGAGGGATACAAGTACGGAGACGAGTACGGATACAAGGCATAAATAGGAGGGGACGACTGAACTCGTTCTCTTCCGTCGTCGTCGCTTGCTTTAGATCAGTCAGTCTGTGTGACATACTCAAGTTGGTTATATTGTGTTAAGAAGGACAATAGACATGTGGATTCAGTTATATGAAGCCTAGTGAGGACTGTTAGGGGGTCAGTTGATTCAGACTATTATTGTGAAACATTTCTGTTGATTCATTGTGTTATATTGAAGCATTTCTTGATTCATGTAATAAAAGGATCAATAGCGAACCTGCATCTTCGAGTCTTTCTACTGTAGTCGATGTTGTGTAGCATGAGTGGTTCAACTCGTTACAATTGGCGTTGTCGGGCAGGATAGACTCGGGGAAGGTCACATTGGGCGTTGCGAACAGGAAAGATGCAACTAGCCTAGGTCACATTTGGCGCTGCGAGCAGGATGAATTCAACTAGACTTGCCGATTTAGGCACCCATAGTCAACCTTGTGCATAACTGTGTTTTGTGTGTATGTGAATTCGGACATTCAGGAACTGTGAAAATTGAGGAAAATTTTTTCATACACACACGGTAAGAAAGAACTCTTTTGTTTTACTTACGGAATAAAATGTCTACTCTGGACGAGAAGCAGACCCATATAGTGGTCCTACCCAGAGAGTCCCACATTAACAAATTTTACGGGGACGGTGATCCCACGTTAACCAACAGGTTCAGTGAGGAGGTCAAAGCGGCCTGGGCCTCGAGAGGCATGTCACCAGAGGAAAGATTAAGACTGCTGATGGGCAGCATAGGAGAGACGGTTGGGGCAGAGGTCAAATGCCACGATAAAACCATCCAATCAGATCCAGATAAGGTGCTGGATCTGATTATGGAGACCTTTGGGGAGAGACGGTCGGGATCGCAACTGCTAGCAGGGTTCGTAGGCTTAAGGCAGAGGTTGGCGGAGAGTGTGATGGAGTACTCACACCGGATGAACAGTGCCTTTGATTCGGTAAAGGTCAAAACACCGGACATTGATGTACGCCTACTGAGGGACCATTTCATTGAGGGGCTGGCAACCCCGATCCTAAGAAGAGAGTTGAAAGAGGAGGTCCACAAAGACCCGCAGTTGACCTTCCTTCAGGTCAGGAACTCAGCGATCCGCAGGTCCGAGGATGAGGACCAATCGAACTGTTCGGTGGACAAAGTTTCTGTACCCGAACAGAGACAATCCCCACCCACAGGGGCCGACACGATGGAGACCATGATGGCTCAACTGTTGGCCCACCTAGATAAGGTTGACCAACGTTTGGAGAGGTTAGAAAGCAGGTCAACAGCTGAGAATCGGGAAAAGAACGGGACAAAACAGGGACGGGTTGGACGGCCGCGTCCGGCCAAGCCATCACTCCAATGGACGGCCGACGGTCGACCAATTTGTTTGTCTTGTTCACAACCCGGACATATGGCACGGTACTGCCAGGGAAACGGTCGTCCTCTGTAAGGCAGGGCCAGGCTACAGAGGGGCGAGGGTATGGCCCAAGAAGCAAAATGATGGGAGTCTGTCCCGAAATGGTGATTACGATTGGGGACATCGCGGTGAAGGCAATTGTGGATACAGGCTCCCAGGTGACGACGATCACGGAAAATTTTTACACCAAATGGATGAAAGGAAAAGACCATAGGTTGAGGTCTGACACATGCATGCGCCTGACGGCAGCTAATGGACTAACCATTCCATACTGTGGTTATTTTCTGGCGGATGTCGTGGTGGCAGGACATAGGTTGAAGCAGGTTGGGGTGTTCGTTACGAAACACAACCTAGAGACAAATGTGTCAAATATACCTTGCCTGTTGGGCATGAATATTCTTGGCCAGTTGCCAGAATTTCTTACAAATATTGTCGGATCGACCACACCAGGTCGGGGATCCAAGTTGGCCAGGTTTGCCAAGACCAGAGGAAGGACAGCAGTCCCGGCAAACACGGTCAAGGCAATCACATTACAAATTGGTGATAGAAGCGTGAATGGTGATGTGATGATAGAACCATGTGGCGCCGCACTGAGGGCAGGCGTCGTGTTACTGCGGACATACACATCAGCGGAAAATGGACTAGTTCAAGGATTAGTGGCAAATGTTTTGGATGAGGAAATTTTTATACCACCTAATACTCTGGTAGGAGTACCACAGAACGTCGAGGTACAAAGGTCGGCACAGTGCATCGAACTGAGCAATACCAGCAGTAATGAAGTAACAATTAGGTCGGTCAATGTGACGGCCGAGGTGAAGAAACAGGATGGCCGATCATATACATTCCCGGAAACTGAGGACCCAAAACTAAATGAATTGCTGAATAAATACAGTGATATATTTGCCTCGTATGAGGGTGATTTGGGGTACACGGAAGTAATCAAACACCAGATACCCTTACTACAAGACAAGCCGGTGGCGCAACCTTATCGAAGATTACCACCGAGTCACTACTCGGCGGTGAAAGCACACCTAAAT